CGTATTCTTGACTTCGATACTAGTTGTAGGTGAGCGGTCAGGTTCACACCATGCTCGCTAACCCCCCCCCCGGAAAAAAGAACATTTAACCACTGGATATAAGGCTGGGTGGGCCGTCATAACCGGTCTGGACGATGTGGAGAAGAGAAATATCTTGTCCCTACCGGGACTCGGACCCCGACCCTTCGACCGTAAAGCCAGTAGCCAGTCGCTATACCGACAGCACTGCCCCGGCATTTTTTGCACAAAAGTACAATTATAATTCTAAATAATTTTAGTTTTTGATATTAATATGGGGTGCACTTCCTACTTAATCAGATTTTATATTTTCGAAAAAACAGGGGAAGTCTCCGCCCTGCCCCGTCCCATGCCTATATGGATAAATGTTTGTAACTGAGGGAAAAGTGGTCGTTTCGACACTTAACTGAGTCCCTTTCATGCCGGTACGACACTTGGATATAAGAAGTTAGAGAGGAATTAACTGCCTCTGTCTGCCATGAAGTTTGCACAAAAAGTAGAGGATTTCTTCATGTTTACTCGCTTTTCGACTCTAAGGATGAAGTTATATTGGTACCATTCTACCAGACTACACCGCATCATATCTCAGAATTCAATAACGTCCATGTTCACTTCCGTGAGAACATCACGTTTGTCTAACAGAAGATTTTTATTTGTCCGTTGCCTTCAAACTGGTCAGAGGAGTTGACTCCTCAATCTTTGTGTCCCGGAATCATGTACGAAAATGCGAGTCGCAGTTGAAATGTTTTCGCTTCCTTTCTATAGTGGGTCTCCTTGGACTGCATCGCGTCACCAGCGGAACGGAAGAACTTTCTTTCGTCTTCTGAATAAACGCAAACGCCCCGCTTCGCCGCGTGAACTGCACTGGCAGACGGTGGATGTATGTTGTTATATCTCACATCCACAGCGACTGAACGGAATTCGGCTAAACTTGGCGTTGAATTCCACCTTAAAAATTATTGTACACATGTAAATTTGATTCATATTGGTCCAGTATAAGGACTAGGATAGCCGAATGAAGTTCGATACTCGGCAGCACCAAGAGCTTGTCTCTTCTGTACAATGTCCGAGTAGAAGGTAAAGTTGTCCCTGTGCTTAGCTAAGCAAGCACTACGCCATGAAGGCATATGGCGGAGTGGAGGTATAGCTACGCCATTCTTGAACTCTGCACTAGATAGAGGTGAGTGGTCAGCTTCACGCCCGGTCGCTTTACCCACGGAGAAATAGCCCCTGGTGTCTATTGAATAGGAGGCTGAATGGGTCCCAAAGCCTGTGTGGACGCTGTGGAGAAGAGAAAACTCTTGACCCTACCAGAACTTGAACTCCGACCCTTGGGCCATCCAGCCCATAGCCAGTCTCTATACCGACTGAGCTATCCCGACTCATTTATCAACTTTCGTTACAGACTCCCCCCAAAAGCAACAAATCATAAACAAAAATTGATACATGACATAAATCACAGCGCACTGTGTTGTGCGACTCTTATTTGAACTACTTTACATAACGAATATTGAACTAAATGTATAACGGCAGAAAGGTAAAGTTGTCCCTGTACTTAGTTAAGTAAGCAGCCCTCCGAGAAGACGTATGGGTAGTGGAGGTATAGCTCCACCATTCTTGACTTACGCACTAGTTGACAGTGATCTAGTTGACACTAGAGACAGTGATCAACTTCACACGCCCCGGTCGATTTACTGTGGGGGAACCCCCCCCCCTCCCGGTGTGCCCATTGGACAGAAGGCTGGTTGGGCCCCAGAGCCAGTCAGGACGCTATGGAATAAAGAAAAATCGTTTGCCTCTACTGGGAATTTAACCTCAGCTGTCCAGTACATAGCCCGTCGCTATGCCGACTGAGCTATCCCAAATCCTTTAACAAAATGGCCCGAAAATAATTTCGAACTCCATGCAGTGTGATGTGTCTTATGTAATTACCTTTGCAAATATGCATGTGTACATACAATAAATGAACACCAAGGCCACTGAGATATATAAAATGTCAGAGAACATATTTATAAAATATATGTGAGCCATTGTTGCATGACGTCAATGATATTTCCCGGATGGACGTGTTGAGTCCCTCAGAATATCCATTTAGATAAGAATAACATAGAAATACTTCTTGTTTATCCAAGATCTTTGCACATTGTCGTGATTCTTGTTTAATTCAGTCTGAACACGGCTGAGGTAACAGGATACAGCTGAGTTGTAAAGGAGTTCAGTTAAACATATTTGGACTCGGTGTTAACGTAACGTAGTTTGAAATTAACTGAAGAAATAAACAAATGAAGTACGTTTACAAATTGGTGTAAATGCTTCCGCTATCTGCCCTCTGAGGTTTACTATGACTCACGTTGTTTTTGTTTGCTCCGACGGAGATTATGAATATTAATGAAACACACCTTGGGCTGTAACCTGTTATTCCACGTAAAGAAAACGTGAAACCGACACCAAATTTTATATTCACATAGACTCGAAGTTGTACAGCCTGCGTTGATAAATAAGAGATTATTTACGCCCTTTCGATGTTGACACGTGACACTCCTGCTTTTAGCAACTTTTGAATTTGATCAATACCGGGTGTTCATTTCAACGAATTTTAGACGACCGCCTCGATGATCTAGTGGTCAGAGTTCTGGCTACAGATCCAGAGGTCCCGGGTTCGATTCGCAGCACTACCAGATTTTCTGAGAAGTAGTGGGTATGGAACGGGGTCCCCCCAGCCTCATGAGGATAATTGAGGAGCTCTTTGGAGGAAATAGCGGCTCCGATCTAGAAAACCGAGATTAACGACCGTGGGTATTCATTGCACTAACCAGGCGACACCCTCTATCCGCTAAAGTTGGCACTAACGTCGCCGACAAGCGACGGTCGCTCGGTCGGTATAGTTCGCTTGCGGACTACACGCCACGGAGTTTGTTTTGTTCATTTCAACGCTGAACTCAAGTCACTTCGATACATCGCGAAGTCGAAAGTTTTCAGTTAAGATACTCGGACGATAATTAAACCGAACACAAGGTACAAGTGAAAATAAGCACGCCTTCCTTCTCCTGATAACCCGAGCCAAGCGTCTCTAGGCTTCATCCATCCGAAATTCTCTCAGCGGTGCCTGTAATGGGTACCATATTCTGAGATTTGACTCCGACGTTTCAGGCAAACCTACTGGCTACATTTTTTACTGTTTTCCACGGACTTTTTAACTTATTACTTGCTTGACTTAATCTTTGACCATGAAGGTCGAAGTAGCACGTTCCTCCGAAACTTCTACCGGACTACACGGTGTCACATCACATTTACATTATTCATTGTGCAGGATAATTTACCATGGAAGTAAAGGTAAAAATTAAAGCTGTCCCTGTGCTTAATTAATTAAGCATCATGCCACGAAGAAGGTGTGTGGTAGTGGAGGCACAACTCCATCGTTCTTGAACTCACACTAGAGATGAGTGGTCAGCTTCACATCCTGGCCGCTTTGTACTTGGACAAAGACGTCACCCATTATATAGGAGGATGGGTGGGATCTGAACACCCTGAAGAAGAGAGAAATGTTTCATCGCTGCCGGGTATCGAACCTCGGTGGTCCAGTCTCTGCACCGATTGAGATACTTAGGCTCATCTACCATGGAACTACATAAAGTAAATTAAACTCATCTCGATGGGGCTAATAACCAAGTAATCTCATGTCCCGTTCCTCTCAGATCGGTTTTAGCATCGTCCACTTTGTTTCCTTCTCCGACTTAGCCTCGTACTCAGTTTTCCAGTCTGTTCTCGACAGGAGTGTTATGTTTCCACCCGTCATCTTTCTTTGTTCATGTACTTCACAATATTAGAGGAAGAACGCAAATCATGTGTCTGTTTACGGTCCTTACTTCGTGTCTCTTCGTTTTAAATAGGCAATACACTCTTCGGCCAGAATCCGGAATAGCTCAGTCGGTATAAAGACGGGCTACGGGCTAAACTACAGTAGTTCGATTCCCGGCAGGTGCAGGAGATTTTTCTCTTTTCCATAGTTTCCAGACCGACCCTGGGTGTCCATCCAGCCTCTCATATAATGGGTACCGGGGGCTATTTCTTCGGTGGGGGAAAGCGGTCAGGGCGTGAAGCTAACCACTCACCCCATCTAGCGCATGTGTCAAAAAGGCGGAGCTAGTCCGTCGTTCACCTGTACGCCTTCATGTCATGGTGCTTAATTAATTAAGCAAAGGAACAAATTTATCTTTACTTCTCGGCCACTTTTTTTTCTCAAACAACCAGTTCTGATGGGAAGCAGTAAATACATACAGAATTTCCATGAGGAAACATCTTGGAAGAGAGCTCAAGAAGTTGGGAGTGTAATATTAAAACAGGTTTTAGGACAATAGGTTCTGGGGTTCGCAAGAGGATCCGGCTCTCTCAGGATCATGTCCAGTGACACTTTCGGTATGCTAGTCTTGCACGTTCAGGCCCTGCTCTCAGGCATAACTAACTCACTCACTCACTCACTCACTCACTCACTCACTCATGGAGTTGAGCTCTTCTTGAGGAGCCGCCAATTCTGCAGCTATTCAAAAATTTCCCAGCATTTTATGGAACCCGAAGGTTCATTACAGTGTTCACAAGAGTCCTCCACTGGTACCTATCCTGAGCCACATCAATCCAATCCATACCATCCCATCCTATTTTTCTAAGATCCATTTTATTATTGTCCACCCACTTATGCCTTGGTTTTCCCAATGGTCTCTTTCCTTCTGGCTTTCCCATCAATATCCTATATGCATTCCTCCCCTCCCCCGTTCGTGCTACATTCCCTGCCCACCTCATCCTCTTTGACTTGATCATTCTAATTATACTTGTAGAAGAGTACAAGTTATGAAGCTCCTCATTATGTAATCAGACAGGCAGTTAATTTTAATTTAGTCAGACCGTTAATTTAATGTAGTTCCTTCGCTAGAACAGAGTTCCTAGGTGAGTGAGTCCATTTTCATAAGCACTGCTGTGTGTTACAGATCCGCGGAACATATTGTGTACAAAATGGGGTCGTCTTCTGTCAACATGGTCTGGGATTACATCGTATTTGCCGTCTTCATTCTTGGCTGCTCAATGATAGCAATCTACAGCAAGTTTGCTGGCCCCAAAGAAAGAACGAAAGCTGATTACGTCTTCGCTACTGGAAGTGTCTCCATGGCAGCCATGATGCTATCCATAGCAAGGGGGACGCTTGGAGTCAGATCATTTTTAGGTAAGTTTAAATCACAGCTTAACCCCAGAGTTTTTAATGCCCCGTAAGAAGGTATATAATTGAAACTTTAGAAGTGCAATATGTGCCAATAGCATGTGTATGCACATATATTTCCCTGTAGACCGATGATTATATTACAATGAAAGTTAACAAGAATGATACCGGAGTCCTAAGTCGGTTAAGGTCTGCAGTCAATTTATGCTCTTCGAAATAATTTCTGACTTCAGCCCTTCTTACTGGACTCCAAAGAAAAAATATAGCACTGTAGGCTTTACATTTTTCAATATACCTTTATTTTTGTTATTATTATTATTTTTTTTTAATATCATCATCATCATCATTATTGATTTCTTAAAAAGTAAAAAAGTAAATTTTCCCTGTGTGTAATTAAGCACTAAGCAATGAAAGCGTATAGTTCCTGTAACCGCACTCTCTGGGAACCGTGGCGACGTCTTCGTCGGAAGCGCCTCTTCTTCAACTGCTCCTCCTCACCCTCTCCTTCTCCTTCTTGTTGATGACGTCACCTATCTTTTTATTTCTTCTTAATTTATTTTCTCATGGTTAGGATTAAAGTTCTCAGGGTTGATAGGATTAAGTTTCTCAGGGTTGATAGGGTTAACAAGGGTGAGGTTGTTGGGAGCGGTAGAGCTGAGTACTCTGTCTCAAGGTCTTAACGGACCACACTTAGAAAGGCAGGTAGGACACTTTTATGCAACACCACCACACTTGAATTTCAGGGTTATTATTATTATTACTCTTGATCAGTTGCAACATTTTCTTTTTACAATTTATCAAGCACTTGTTACTGTCGGACTGTTTGCTACCTTCTAAATTTAGCTCGTCCTGTTTAATATTATTATTATACTTCTAACCGTGGTCTCACACTTCACAACAGATTATTACACTTTATCACTACAGCTTGTTACTACAAAGTTACTTCTGATCTAGATAGCCCCGTATGTGACTTCACGTCTGGTCCTTTCGAGTCCCGATTTCCGACTTCACGTCTGATTCTTTCGACTCCCGGTTTTCGACTTCACGTCTGGTTCTTCCGACTGACGCTGACAACTGCCGCTTCCTCGGACCTCCAAGTCCTGGATTTTTCCAGCGTCCTTTTTCTGTCACACACATAAATTTTCGTGATTGGTCAGTTTAAAATTTAGGGGTATTCTAATTACACATTCCTCCAATCACTTTAACTCTTACAAAGGGGTGAAGAAATTCTGTCTTAACGAACTCCTGTCAAAAAAGTGACGAATGTGTAGCGTGGCTTGGGTCGTAAACCCGTCACCCTACTAAAATATATAGCTTGTAGAAATTTGTCAACTAAAGAACTCACAAAGACTTCTTTAGCCATTCTTTACGTAACTTTTCCTTAATAAATCCACAACCGGTATCTCCCTGCTTTTGGTGTAAGCGTGGGAAGACGCTAGCTCTTAAATACAAGAATTAACCTAAGTCTCACTACACTTGTTCATATCCTTACATTCAACAATTAAATTTCAAATTAATAGCATAAATCATATTTAAATAGGCAGCACGGCAGTTGAACGGTTACACTCCATTCTTGACCTCAGCACAACATGGAAGCTTCACGCCCGGGGTCCCCTTCCAGAGAAAATAGTTCCCGGTACCTTTTATATGGAAGGATCGGTGGACCTCAGTGTTGGTCTGGACGCTGTGAAGAAGAGAAAAATCTCTTGCCTTGCCGGGAATCGGAAACTATACGTCCACTCTCCCCACCCCTCTGACGTACTTAGTTCAGTTTACGTAATTCCTTTATGTGTGTTCTCATTTGCAACGTTTTTACCACATTTTGCTTCTCCGCTTTCCACTTATTTTTAAACTTGAACAAATATTTTCCTATATCTTTGGGATAAATATTGTCAGTAAAAGTAGAGCTATCCCTGTAAGAGACCGTGGAGGCCCATAGAGTTGTGAGTCGTCGAGGCTCCCACATTTTCTCTAGACAATCGACTCACAGATGCGGTGAGATTTAAATATCGCCAGTACAGTGTTTTAGGTTATCTGGCGACAGTACTTTAGCTTCTTAAGCTAATTAGCGTAGAATAAGCTGACGATTGTGTTATGACAGATTGGAAGTAATGTGTAAGGAAGAGGTCGTGATCTATTTTAACATTTTCCGGTTTGTTTATGACGCCGTCAGGACATAGAGCACACAGCGCCGAATGGTAGGATGGCTGATTTATGATTAATTAGAAAGGACTTGAAACGAAACGGTCTTGACCTATTCGGATGTACTATCCAGGAATCTGTCTCGAGGGAAGGAAAACCATGAAAACCCCACATTCAGGGGAGCAGATATCGGGGTCGAGATTAGAAATGATCACTTATGGAATACAAACCTAGAGCGTTACCGCCGCACTAACCATTCGGTTAACTTACTATCGCAGCCCGAATGAACTGAGAGAGCCTGTAAGGATCTTTGGGTAGAGAAGACATCATTGATCGCCGATTTCAAAGGGTGTCCATTTCGGTCCAGTATGTAAGAGAACAGACTTATGATCAAATGGCGTCCACTCAGTCTGCAGACCCTGTCCACTCTGCTTCATCGTTCGCAGATTTCTTATACCCTGAAGAAGGAGGCAATACTTTCCACCGAAACGTAGGTTAACACAATATCTACCCGGCGTCACATCCAAGAAGACGGCATTCTTCATATTCATTGCCGTGAAAACGTCATATCTTAGATATGATGTACATTTTGGTGTAACATGAAGCTTCCCGCCGTAGTTGGTTTCTGGCTGTCAGTTTGACCCGGATGTTACTCTGGTTGCTCTTCCCACAGCTCTCCTCGAAAAATGATTCAACTTAATTCGTGTCTGCCCACGGCCGTTTAATCTTCTAAGCAGTAAATACTATTGTTTATTTGTAGACTCTGAGGTTCTCACAGCGGAGCTTAGGAACAGTTCCATTTTCTGGGATATAACGTCGCATATCCTGAGGTTGCGCGTGGTTTCGTTAGTCCCTCCAAGCAAATGCCAAGATAATACCCAGATAGGCCACAGTCACTTCCCGCCAGACCTTTTCCAATTCATCTAACATTCTACCATCCGACGCTATATATTCGAGCTACTGACAGCCTCATCAAAGTCTGTATACTGACAAGCTACGGGCTGGACGAGCGGTGTTTGTTTCCCAGCAGGTGCAAGAACATTTTCCTCTATTCCACAGTGTACAGACGGACTCTGGGACCCAGAACCTCCCATCCAATGGTTACAGGGAGCTCTTTCCCTGGGGGATGAAGCTGTCGGGGCTTGAAGCTGACCAATCACCTATATCTAGTGCTGACGTCAAGAATATTAAAGCTAAACCTCCACATCCCCATAATTCTTAATGACGTGGTGCTTAATTGATGAGCACATGGACAACTTTACCTTTTTATCTTTACTGACAACATCGTAAAGTAAACCACAAATAAATGGGATTTTGCGGACGTGAAAGTTTAGAATGAGATCTTCTGGTCTTCTGGGCTATGGTGTTACGTTCTCTCGCACGCGGCTCCCAGCGTTTCGGGTGTGACAATTCAGAAGACCGCGGTCTGAATGGAGGACTTTCTTCTCGAGCAGGCCCAAAGCAGGCCTACATGCCTCCCAGAGGACGAGAAATGCCGCCACGCCCACAGTTGAAAAACACATCAACTTTCTCAAAACTTCGGCACAATTAATATCACGAATTTCCATCCAGTATGACGAAAACAGTGTCAGTGATGTCATAACCATTAAAAGAGTTTTCTTTACGTTGTTGCTTAACATGTTCAAGATTGCTGCCCAATTACAGGGCAACAGAAACTCTTTACGTTTAACCAAATTCCAAAGGAGGAATATTGCAGAATGTGCAGCTCCCTGGCGGACTATTAATTAGCCATTGTTGTCTCCACAGCCATGTCCTCGACTCTGCCGCCGTTTTAAAACTGACGTTTGTGTAATCTGTTGCAGGCTACCCCTCGGAGCTATACTACCGGGGCAGCGCCATGTGGGAGACCCTGTACGGAATGATCGCTGCGTATCCGATCGTTATCTTCGTATTCGTCCCCGTGTACTACAGCCTGGGCATCACGTCCGTCTACCAGGTGAACTATATATTGGACTGTCATTTCTTTCTCTATCTTGTTCTCAAGAGAGGGCTGACTCATTCAGTGGAGTGACTTAGACTATGGGCTGGACGGCCGAGGAATCGGGGTTTAATTCCTGGCAGGGGCGAAGATATTTCTCTCCTCCATACCTTCCCTGACGAGCTCTAGTACCTTCCTAGCCTTCTATTGCATCCGTGAGTTTTCCGGAACCCATCTTGCGCAAAACTCGTAATAGCCTAGTCTAACTATGATAATTTCGCAGGAAACAATGCGTAAAATTTGTGGAAATTCACGCGAAATTCTGATGTTGTGAAGCGCCGTCTTTCACAGATTTTTTGTCAACACTTTGAACAAAATCATCTCTCACTACAGATGGCTGACTACTTCACTCTTCATCGTGAACATTTATTCACTCATCTTCGAACATTCTGGGGCACGCGATAGCGTAGTTGGTTGAGGCACTATACTACAAGTAGAAAGGTCGCGGGATCGAATCCCGACGAGGTGGATTTTTTCAATGTACCTAATCCTTCCAGCTGCACTATGGCCCTGGGGTCGACTCAGCCTCTAACAAATATGAGTACCAGGAATATTCTTAGAATATTCTTAGGGGTAAAGGGCGGCCGGCGCGAAAGGCTGGCAGCCTTACCGCCATCTGTGAACCAATTGTCTAGAAAATGTGGGACCCTCAACATCTCACAACCCTATGGGCCTCCACGGCCTGTTAAAGGGATACCTTTACTTCACTTTTTTACTCTTCGAACATTCTACGCTGTTGTCTTGCAGTTCCTTCACACATCATATTTTGACCGTAAACCACTCATAATTCACGATGGATTTCCACAGCACTCATGTTTTTAGAGTGAAGAAGTGGATAATATCGCGAATTCCGCAGCTGGCGGGATTATCAACCGCAGGTCACATCATAACTCATTCTGTAGAGACAAGAACAAACACTAGGTGACCAGTTATGTGGTGATGGTTTAGAAGTCAACGAATCATGTGACGCTGTCTCGCATTTGCAAACTCTATCCCACTCCTACATTAATTGCCTAAAATAAAGCGAGATTACTTTCAAAATATCCCTAGCAGTTACATCAGATCTGTACATTAAATTTAAATATTGAAACGTGTTTTCATTTGAATAGCATAGTTGAGAATGAACTTACTGAACTGTAAATTCTGAGGTCTTTGTTTTAATTCATTGGAGAGAATATCATTTAATGCTTTGCAATATATCTCTTTCAGAAACTGTTTTCAGGTGTTTAAGTGTGTAATTAACTCAAACAAGATAGCTGCAAAAGCTATTTCTTGCAACAACTTGACCTTGATTCCAGAAAGCCGACAGCAGAGTTGACTTTTGTATATCTATTTATGCAGTTAATTACACGACCTCATATTCTATAACAAGAAACAGCGATATCTAACTCTCACTTAACATTCATTATTCCTTCATTGCATAAAGTGCTTAAAATGAATGTATATAATGGGAAGATATTGATTTATCTTCATTTATTTCCTCTGTTTCTCTTTTTGAGACCCTTGACACATTATACACAAAGTTTGGGTCTTGCCGTCTTTTTTGTGATCCTTCAAGATGAATACTCACTTCATGGGAGTTGTCCTTATCTCTAGGGCTAAAAGCAATATTTGATGTTAGCAGGTTGCTAGTGTGGCCTTTGTTTCTGATGGAGGGGCTGCCTCCTTAATGCTTTTGGAGAAGACCCCCTCCCTTTATTACCCCTAGAGGGTAGTGTCCCAACATTTTAAATCCTTCAACTTGATCATCTGTTGATCCATGGGTCCTTGTTCTACATATTTGCACCCCTCCACCTCATCTAGTAGGCTCCCCGATCCATTACACATTGGCTGTGGGCTTTAGAACTTAAGAATTCTCCTCATATCCAATATTACTCAACAGATTTTGATTAAACTTACATAGGCTGACTTAATTCTGGTTTGTATTTGTCCAGTTCATATCAAACTTTAACTTTTTTATCTACAGTAGATCACTGTACAAGAATGATACATGACACAGTTCTGATCAAGATGTATAACCTTTTCTTCAGACTTTTGTTTGATGTCTGAATATATAACACAGCACAAAATCATGTAGGAAGTATCTGTCAAACCTTAATGAAAAATAAATAGTAGACATTAGAGTTTGAACTGACAGCATTGTTAAATAAACCACATATAAATAAAATGTTCATAATTCCTTCAAAATATAAGTAAAGTAAGTATTATTTAATAATGAAATAATATTAAAAACAAACTTGGAATTGCCTACCTGCAACTTGAATGTACTATATGCTTACATTGTTGTGAACAATTGTAATAATGCACTGTGTTCAAATGTGTATAATATATTGTAATATGTTGCGTTACTGAAGATGCCGTTCAGATTGTTAACGGGTTTATTTAACAACCTGCAAGTCTCTGCTACAATTAATTATAACAATGTTACGGGTTTCCACACTTTAAAAACCCTACACACAAATCAATTCACTCTGTCATGATCCACTAGTTACAACTGAAATCGGTGACTACTACAATTCAATTTACTCCTTACTGCTCACTGCTGGCTAGATTCAAACTTAATTCGTAGGCTGCTGACTTGAGAACTCACTTTGGCGACTGATACACTTTAGACTGACTCCGGGGACGGTTACAAGTTAACTCACTGCGGCGGCTGTGTATTTCCCTTATATAGTCACAGCGCTTGCCTGTTACGTAATCGCACCGCTGTTGCCTCACGCCATGTTACGTCACCGTGCGGAGGGGGGTGACGGAGCGCTGACTCACCTGCCACATCACTGCTGGTGGGGAGGGGTTGTCCTCCATTACGCAACATGTCACAATATTTTAAACTAGTTTTATAACAACACTTACACTAAGGATACTGAGAAAATTTGCATCTAAAAAACCATTATTCCTGGCAGACTTCACGTTAACTTCCAAACTGCCATGACTCTGCAAACGTTTCAGATTGGCCTTTCTTCTGCTCAGAACATACTGATGAATTTGCAGAGTTTAGCAGAGAGCTCCTAAATTATGCTGTACAGGATTAACTGAATCTGTAATGTGATTACTTTTTATAAATAGCTTGAAATCACAAAAAATATACATTTTGAAAATATGTGTACTCCACATTGGCTTATGTATCCATTCTTGTTAATTTTATGGATGGAAGAATGTCAGGGAAAGGCCTGTCAACTGCTTCATGACCAACTTTCCAGATGTTTTTACATGCTAGTTTATTTGATCTGTTGTTAATATTATGAATGGACTACATTTGAAAGCGTGAAAGATTATTTCAGGCCTGGAGACCACCAGTTGGTGCCACTGACTTAATCGTTGGACAAGAATCCTGTAAAATCTACAAATTTGAGACTCTGTCTGCACTTAATTTGTTGTTTACATATTAACTCCCATCAGTCAATAATATAGTGCAATACTGACAGCATCATGAAATAACCAACTTAACAAAAAATTTGATGTGATAAAATTAAGTAAAATGGCAATGTATTGCCACCTGACACATAAGTTTTTTAAATTAAAATTACACATATGGACACTGACTGTGTGTGTTGTTGTACTCTGTGCAGTATTTGGATCTGAGGTTCAAGTCCCGCCTGGTGCGATGCCTCGCCTCTTTCACATATGTAGTGCGCAGTCTACTGAACCTCGGAGTGACTGTTTTCACCCCATGTGTTGCTCTTAAGACTGTCATTGGTCTCCCATACTGGGCTTCAATCCTTAGCATCACAGTCATCAGCATAATTTTCACTATAATGGTAATGTGGTCTGTAGTATAGTGTCATGAATGAATAAAACTTATGAAAAGGAAACATCACTACATATTAATACATATTAATTTTACACGTGGAAGTAGTTTCTAAAGTTTGGATGTACTCCTACAGTATTGAGATTTACACATTATTTGTATTACTGAAATTTGGATTTTTATATGTGGTTTGTATGTAGTTTCTAAGAGTGAATGTGCAGTTCATAATTTTACACACTGTTTTAGATATTGTTTACACTACTTAGTTTTACACATGGTTTACGTGTGCTTTATGAATTTGGATTTACAATATCAGCTTTGCACATAACTTACAGTACTTCATTTTGTATGTTTTGTTGTGGTTTACATTCAATTTCTAAATCTGAATGTATGGTCATAGTTTTCCACATTATTTTAGATGTGGTTTACATTTGATTTACAATGTTTTTTGACATGTGGCTTCTCAGTCTGGATTTAGTCCAACTACCTTTATTCTACTGACATCTGTGACTAATCAGTGCAATTAGCTCTACTGTAAGCTTTTACAACCAGTGTTATGTTCAATTCTCAGGGAGGTCTGAAGGCTGCCATTACAGCAGATGTAGTCCAGGGCCTCACAATGATTGCATGTAGTCTTGCCATTATAATATATGGCTGTATAGATGTTGGTGGTTTCCAGAAAGTAATCAGTGTATCCAGTGAGCGAGGACGTCTGCAGTTCTTCAAGTAAGTAATGACCAGAACCAATTTGCGCATATTTGAGAAAGGTCTGCCATATTTTAACAGCCTCTTGTTTGGCACTGGAGCTTGATCTCAGCCTTGGCCCTTGTTACTCTACACGTTTTCTAAATAGTTATTAAGAAAATAATATGTGTACTGGGTTCAAGTGACTATGCTTCTCATTAAGCAGAGTTATGAACAGGAGAAGGAACAAGAGAAACATGTCATAAATACAGAAATAGCAAGATGAGAATTACTACAGAGTTGTTAGGTTCAAGCATCTGTGCAAACAACTCTTATATTCATGCCCAATCCTTCTACTGTTAAGCAAATATTAACAAAGGAGCCCCGTGATGCTCACATGTAGCACGGAGCACTACAAAACAAATACAGATGCTGAAGCACAAAGACAGAGAAAGGCAAGGCTATCTTAGCATGATTCCATATATACAAAATTGTGCAGACAAATATCGGGCAAGCAAAGGCTCCATAACTTGTGACCCACTACTAGTGCCACAGTGGTTCAGAGAAGATTTAATATTCATAATTCTCATTTAAAGCATTATCCCTTTGTGTGATGCAGTTACATTTTCTGAAGGATTAGGCTGCAAGCATTAAAGTATTCTGAAGTAATGGGCTGCAGGGATTAGAAGTATTCTGAAGGATTATACTGCAGAGATAATAATTATTCTGAATAATTAGACAACAGAATTTTGAAGTATTCTGAAGGATTAAATTGCACAAATTATAAGTTTCCTGAATGATTAGGCTGCAGGCATTATAAATACTCTGAAGAGTTATTAGACTGCAGGAATTAGAAATATTTTGAAGGATTAGGCTGCAGGCATTAGAAGTATGAGAAGTCTTAACTGAATTTTTGATACCTTATTGACTATAGGGTGATTAAGAACCTGGGTGAGAAGGTTTTGATTTCTATTTTTATTTTTATGTGCCTGTTGTATACAAACTTATAATATCATTGGATTTGTAGCAAGAGTCAAAAGTGTTCACAACGAAGTTATATTCTAATCCATTATGGGATGAAGGATGGAAAAAGGCTTTCTCTTGCTTATCTTGACTGCTGCCTGCTTTTCCCATAAAGAGGATTAGAAGAGAAGGTCTTGAACTACAATTTTATATGCACAATTTATTTAGGTATACGGTGCTTAAAAATATGTTTAAAAGAAACATACTTTATAAACATTGGAGTCTTGGGCAGAAACTATAAATAATAAGTCTGCTTAAACATGTATTGAGGAAGAAATCAAGTGTTTTTAAATTTTAGAACACTGCTGCTGAATTAGAATTTAAACATTGAATCCATCAATCTCTCTGACCAACAGCTTTGACCTGGACCCTACAGTTCGTGTTGCTACACTTTCAGCACTTTTTGGTCAACTATTCATGTCATTGTCCATCTTCGGTTGTCAGCAGAATTTTGTGCAGCGATACTGCAGTATGGACTCCCAGCGGGCTGTCACGAAGTAAGTTTTATTTGGGCACTTGTAAAAGGACCCTTGATTGAACATCACAACATACATTTTGCCCACTTATGATTTAGTGTGGCTCATATTTTTGTTCTTTTCACTATTAAGACAGTCACTGTTTTCTTCACAGAACTCTGATGGCAAACATCCCTGTAATTACAGTGCTATTCAGCCTGTCGTGGGTTGCTGGAATGGTGATCTTTGTGAGCTATGCTGATTGTGATCCATTGAAGTTAGGTTACATCAGCAAAATTGATGAGATTGTGCCCTTCTATGTAGAGGACAAATTCGTGTTTCTTCCTGGTCTCCTGGGTCTCTTCATGGCCAGTCTGTTCAATGGTGCACTTAGGTATGTATTTCAGACTGCATCAGGAGTATGAATCTGTACCATAATGCAAGAAATGCATTTCCAAATGCATACGTTGTAAATATGCATTTACCTTTGTTCTTCATGATCATTCACTTTATGTAAAACTTTCCTGGCGAAATAAGCTACAAAAATGATGTCTATGATGTCATGTCATGTCTACAGTGAACGCTGTGTCAAATGAATCTTAGCTTGTGTAGCAAAAGAACAGTACTTTTTGTTCTATAAGCTGACAAATTAAATATTAAAGTCAAAAATCTAAATTAAATCAAATCCATCTACAGCACTGTACAGTGTCATGTTCCAGAATGCCACATCTGGAATTTCACCACTATGAAAGCCTGAAGGCTTATACTGTGCAGAATTAGTACCACTTTCAATTTTTTCTCCCCATTTTTTGTTCTACAGCCTTGCAGTCTCTAACCTCAATTCTCTTGCAACGGTTACATGGGAAGATTTCATCAGTCAAATTCCTCAGTTTAGAAGCTTCACAGACAAGCGGCAGCTGCTTGTAATTAAGTTCATCGGTAAGTCACTTTCATGTTATCATCATGGTTCAAACAAATCTGAGATTCTTGTCCAAGACACTTGTCATCAGACAGCACAACTATCCACTGATACAAGTTTGGGCATCAGTATTATAGACACAATAATATTGACTTTATGACACTTGGCATTCAAGGCATGCCATTTGAGGACACAATAACTTGTCACTTTCTAACTCAATGACTTGAAGAGTACCAACATGCAGAATCATGCAAATTTGTGAGGTCAGAAATATACGGGTGTTAGGATACACTCTTCTGGCATAGGATGCCATATAGCTCGGTAGATCCCATTGATTCCATAAGTTGGAAGATGCCTCCTGATAATGGAGGAAGCAAATTTCTCTAAACTGTTGTTACTCCTCTATCAAACTACACTCTGTGACAAACCAGAAGACATAATCGCGATTCTTGCCACCCTTAGAACCTCAAATCACAAGGAAAAGTGTATGGTATAAGACCTTTTAAAATCATATGATGATACATCTTTAAAAAATCAACTTTTGTAAGAATAAATTTTTAGAAAAATTAACCATGTTATGACTTTGGCCTCCTTGTGTATTTAATAATGCCATGTCATCTGCATTTGAATGAGTATAGATGCAATTGTTACAAAGTTTGTGTTGTTAAAAATGCAGAAGAAAGCAGCCATGGCCTACTTTTAAGTAATGTCCTAGCATTTATTGAATGGATTAAGCAAAATAATGAACCTCCTCCTTGACAGCTAGTCTTGTTCCTCTGACTGGAACCAGAAACCAACCAAACAATAATAAAAAACATGGTGATTGCATGACATATTTTGAACTGATAGCTGATATGTTGAATTTATATTTTCAAACAAATCTAGTATTAATACAGGCAGCATTAAACTATAAAGCATAATCATTCAGAACCCTATAAATGCACCATACAAATAATAAGTGTCTTAATAAGGTGTTCCATGATGCAGATCAGTAACTAAAGCCATGGTATTACAGGGTCTCTCTACGGGATCCTCATCATGGGCATATCATTTGGAGTGGCAACTCTTTCTGGTGTAATAGAGTCATCCATGCTGATGACCTCAGCCACAAGTGGCCCACTGCTTGGAGTCTTCCTGCTAGCAATGCTGTTTCCTTGTGTTAATTGGAAGGTATGGTGACATATAGCAGACTGTGTGGTGGTACCAACAACTTTCACTGCATGAGTGTCCTTTTTAAAAATAATAACCTCCCATATAAATATCTATACAGTTACATCACTCATCTTTAATTCCCCACAGCATTGTCCTTAACATGTAACAATAAATGGAGTTAAGATTTGTTTAATTTTAAAATTAGTGAAATATAATTATAAAAGTGTTATAACTGGACTCTGCATGATGTACTTCTTAAAATATTTTGTTAAATACAAACAGTGTTGGCAGATATGCCAGGTATAATGTACAGATCTTTACGTTTACATTTATTTTCACTTCATGGATCCAATCATCTCCCCATAGGGCTAGATATAAAACATGTCACATATTACAAATTCAGCTTGATGCCTGAATAGTACACCCCTCTCTGATAGGATGATAAATGTGTTGAAGGTATATGAAGGTGGTCATTCCTCCTGGTACCAATGACATATACAGAGTTATTGGCTTGAAACTTATCCAGATTATTAACAACAAATGTCATCAATGAAAGCTAATACACTTGGTCGTCGACTTACGACTGGCTGCACTTACAACCAAAAAAAAAAAAAAATGAAAAATAAAAGATGATTAAAATGTAAATTTTTTTAAAAATAAATTATAGAGATGATAAAAAGATTATAAAAGTTAAAAAATACTGTTAATAAATATATGGCCAACATATGACCAGATCGACTTATGACCTGTCAGTCAGAATGGAAGTCAGTCGTAAGTCGACGACCAAGTGTATACACATGGGATTGGTAGTACGTCAAGCTTTTTAAATAGATCTCTACACGTATGAGTTGGGCCCACTCCCATCATTATTATTATTATTTTCTTTTGTATAACAAAGACCTTATGACTGTCAGATGTATTTCCCCAATATATTATTCCATATTTCACCAATGAATGATAATATGCATAATATACAGCCTTAAGACTATTTATATTTAATATAGAGGATAATCTTCGCATTAGAAAACAAACTGTGCTCAACTTGTGAAGCAAAAATCGATATGTCCCTTACAAGTCAGATGATTGTCCGGCTGCAAACCGAGAAATTTTATTGTTTCTACTTCTTTCAGCTTTTTGTTAAAAAACAATGTATATAGAGGATAGCTCATAGTTGCTATTGGGGTGAATTTTATCATTTTTTTATCCAGATTTAACACTAACTGATTATTTTGAAACCACGTAAACATGTGATTAAAAACAACATCCAATTTTATTTTTAAATTATAGTAGTCTTTAGCTGTGCAAAGAATACTTGTGTCATCTGCAAACATAATAACTTCTGAAATTTTACTTATTTCAAGGGGGAAATCATTTATGTATTTATTAAAGAGTAAGGGTCCCAACACCGATCCCTGAGGCACACCATATCCAACAATTTCCCAGTTAGAATAATATTTATTATTTATATAATTTAATTCCACTCTTTGCCTCCTATATTGTAGGTAAGATTTAAACCATTGCAGTAATACACCCTGCACTCCATAGTTTCATTTTAGAAGATCATGATTAACACAGTCAAAGGCCTTGGCTATGTCACACAATATACCAGTTGCATACTCTTTTCTATTCCAATCTGTAAGTATTACATTGGTTAATTTAAACATTGCATCTTTGGTTGATAATCCCTTTTGGAAGCCATACTGCTTTGAAAGTAATATTTTATATTTTACAGTATGATCATTGAGTCTTCTAAAAATTGCTGTTTAAAAAACTTAATTTAATATCAAAAGAATTCTCCTGTGAGCAAGATTTTAAGTTCTTACAGTGGTAACTATGAAAATTACTCTCTTCTGGGATGTGATGCTGCACAGTTTGGTCAGTAGGTACCAATATTTTGGAAAGTGGAAGACAGAGACAGCAGGTTCCTCTAAAATGTTACTGAACCATTTAGCATAACATCCCAGAAAATTGTAATCTTCAATTCCTCTTAGGGTTTAAAAAATAATGAATTAGCAACCAATGGGAGACCAAGAACAAGATGAAGGGACTGTGAAGGAAGATATATATAAGAAAGTAAGGAAGGAGTAATCATGGATATAAGAGGAATGTTCAAGGAAGGAAGAAGATGCTGAATGTGCTTTTCCTGCCTTCAGTTGATGTAACCTGTGAATAATAAACTTCATATCTTGTTGCAGGGAGCAGTAAGTGGGATGATAGTCAGTCATATTATCACTCTTTGGATCACATTTGGAGGTTTGACTGTTGAAAAGCCTCCAATTCAGCTTCTGCCCTTATCTACAACAGGATGTACCAATGACTCATATACCCATGTTGTTTCTCCTGCTGAAATTGTGATACCAGATTCTCAGTACCACTTTGAGTGGGCCAACCACAGTATTTCAGAGGAACCTTTGTATAATTACAGCATCTTCAAAAACATTTCTTCAGGTAGAGAGGAAGGAGTATCTACCAGCCCAGGCCCAGAGTAAGTATTGCAAAGGCGGCTACGTGCCGTGTCCTAATATATGAATTCTGCATGCTTTGCCAAACAGATGAAATCAAATATGTGACACAGTTTCAAAGAGTTTGGAGACTGTGAGAGGCTCAGTCCTTGGATGATTAATATGACCCAAGTGAAACAATTTACTAAAGTAATTATTTTCTGTTGGCCATGGTTCTAGCTATTTTATTATGTCTAATAATTTAGCATTGTAAAATAAAATCCTCTGAATAATATTTAAATGCAGTTTTCATTCTGGAATCGCATTAATTCCCATTTACCTGTGTGTTCCTTGACATTAATCAAATATATTAGATGTAGCATAAGCTGCAAAGCCCAAACTAATGACCACTGTAGAACAGGGTTAAATTGTTACATTTTGCTTCTAATAACAGACTTTATTCATTACACATTTTATTATATATAACTTGTTTATAATTTTGGTATTCTGTGTTATGGCACAATGTAGTCTTGGTAGGTGGGTAGCAGGATTTCAGAAAAACATGCTGCATCCATGTAGTTTTTAAACATGTCAGTGGAAAGGCCACTTAATTGTCATGATTAACAAGGTTATATGTCTTAGTGTTAATTATGCACAGTCATTAGACCTTACCAAGTGAGCTATGTAAAGCAGCATTTCACAGTGTGTAAAGTGCCACTAGTTATTTGACTAGGGTATAAAGGAATAAAAACATAAAGTTTTCTTCTCTAAAATATAGATAAAATATGTACAGAATGTTATAAGGATGTTGCAGTTTCTTGAGTCTTGTATTTGTGTTTAAGAAGTAGTGGTAGCTGGCACACTGCAGATATAATGGTGTGCTGTCCTTGCAGCTGAACACAGGATAGGTTGTTGTAGAACATCACTGCATAAACATAGTTTACTTCATATCCTTATTATCTAACAAAATGTTATCTTTCCAGGAACATTCTAACAGAGCTCTATTCCATAACATATATGTACTACTCGCTGATTGGATGTGGAATTACGGTTCTGTTAGGGATCATAGTCAGTTACATCACTGGTAAGTGCTAACACTCATTTGTATAAATACCGTATTTACGCATGTATAGGCCGCAGCACAATTTTCAGACAGAAATTATAGAAAAAATAATTTTCTTGGAATATTATTTCAGGAGTAGAACACCCTGTATTACTAATTATGAATATAATTTTTTTTAAATGAAGTGTGATTTCGAATATTTCGAATATAAGCCGCACCCCAGTTCTCCTCTTGAATTTTTGGCAAAAAATGTGCGGCCTATACATGCGTAAATACGGTATTCTATAAAGTATTGATCACCATGAATCTTTATATTGCAACTATAACATTTGGACCACTTCCCTTAAACACGGAACACTGTAGGATGATTCAGACAAGGAGGATAAGATAGGCCAAACATGTAGCATGCATTGGGTAGATGAGAAGTATAAAGTTCTGGGAAAATCCTGGGAAAAAAAATCCTTCAGAGAAGTAGATGTAAATGTGACTATGATATTAAAATGGATATTAGGAAAATATATCATAAGTATGTGAACTCAGTGCAAAGGGCTCAGAACAGAATGATAGTGGTAACTAAGGTTTCAGAACGTTTTATACATGTTTCAGGAACGTCACCAGAAGATGCCTATGATGAAAAGCTTATTCACCCTCTGGCAATGAAGATCAGCAAATTGTTCCCAGGACCACCTCGCAGATATGTTCAGGATAAGATCACAAGCCCAGATAAATTCAGCAGTAGCAGTTCTGAAATCCTTCAGTCACGAGAAGAACAGAGACCTTGTGATTTTTCAAAAGAACCCAGATACAGAGCGACTGAATTTACTACTCCAAATGGAAAAAGCCCCATATGACACCATTTGTCATGCTCAACAAATATGATGTTGAGAGTGTGTAAATCAGACATTGTAAATTTGGTTGTGGTTGTCTTTGGCAATCAGTGACTCAGTTCACATCTTCCATACTGGAAGGAATTCAGTACTTGGGGCAACTTCTATTGTTATGCCTGGATATGTTGTACAAATAATGGCAGAGTACAAGTGTACTGTCATATGATGCAGTAACAGGGATAGTCGTGGGGCCATACCGGAGGTGTTCCAGTTATAATCGTTTATCTCAAGACGTTAGTGTATGGAACCGAAGATGCAAATTGTGGCAACGCAATTACAGAACTTGTTCAAATTCAAACTGTGAATAAGGACTGCCATACAAATACATATTTCTTAATAGTAGCGATGTATTTATTACAATTTTAAAGATGTGTCTGATATGACTTTATAAGTCTCAGCAAAATATACTTGTTTTTAAAGCTGTAACCAGACTCCTGATCTTGTTTTTTGCTCAGCTGATATGAGACCAGCAAGAATTGTTCTGTTCATGGAGCCTGTCTTTCATGGCACTGATATTACAACTGATATGGCCACAGGACTAATGTTTTATATGAAACGGACAACACTTCTACAGCACACTGTCTTTCGAATTTGTGATTACAGGAGAATTTATGGTACTTGAGTTTGCAGTGTATATATAAGTGATATTTCTTTTTCTAAGACAACTTCAAAGATTATTACAGTATAGTAGTATAGTTATTATTCAACTTTATTTTTCCGTCACAACACAACAACTGAGGAGTATCAAGGTCAATACCCAGCTATGCCTCCCTACATGTTTCGGCCGTTAACGGCCATCATCAGGTGAATACAAATCAACAAACATATACTATTGAACTGTAGTAAAATTAGATACAATGACAAAATAGTTGATTCTTATGTGTAAAAATACAGCGGTCATTTATGTATAAAACTGAAGGTTATAATATAAAACAAGATTAAAATTAATGTTTTGTAACATCTGATCAGTTGTATGTTTACTTTATATGTTCCGTGGACAAAATAAAAATATAAGATGGTATTGGAGGCCCATGACGTTGTAAGTTAATTAATAGTGTAGAGGTGCCTCATCATACGAAAGAAAATGTCCATACTGTATGAGGAGTAAACAAGGACTCAGTTCAATAGTATATGTTTGTTGATCTGTATTCACCTGATGATGGCCATTAACGGCCGAAACATGTAGTGAGGCATAGCTGGGTATTGGCCTTGATACTCCTTAGTTGTTGTGTTGTGATGGAAAAATAAAGTTGTATATTGTAACACAACAGGATGCACGAAATGAAGATTGTAGTTATTATTCTTTACCTCCTGGTACACTATTCATGAGGCCAAATACTTTATGTAGATACAGTACATCTAATTTAGAAATTAAACATTAATAATTTAACACAAAATATGTTTTCAAATATTTGCAGTGTATTTCTTTGAATCAAGAACATTTTTACATCAGTTAGTTTAGCCATTAAATTTAGTGAAGAGATATATCAGCATTCTTACAGTAGTAAAAAATACTCTAAAATTGTTCTCTAAGAAACACTCAACACAGATGAAATGTTTTCTCCAACTAAAGGGCAGGGTACTTAAAGACATTATATTGTTAGTTGATAAGTTTCAATTGGATTTACAAATGTTGAAATAGGGTACATAAAATAATACTTTGACCCATAAATTTCATAAAAGAATATAAATAATTTATTAAGTTTTGTTCTAAAGCATGTGGTATTAGCTTTGATTTCTTTAGATAATTTACATACTAATGTGCCTGATTAGTGAGTATTGTCTCCCCAAATTATATCTTTTTTAAACATCTTTTACTGAGAACAATACCATATATGTTCCAGATAGTGCCGGATATAAGAAAGATAAAATAAAATAAAATAAAATAAAATAAAATTGATGTATTCTTCCTAATAAAACCTGGGCATAAATAACTACTAATTTCAAAACACATTCTTTGGAAGGGGGGGGGGATTCTGAACAATGAAGGGTATTCCATTTTATAACAAGAATTATTTTAAATCTAAATGATTACTGTATATTAAATGTGATATGAAGTGTGACACTCTGTTGAATAAATAATTCTGGTGACTGGTTGGTCACAGTTTATTTATATATTACCTATAAAATAAAAAGTGCTAGCCAATAAGTCTCAAGCCCAATTAGTAACGTACCCAGATTCCGAACCTTTGGACAGGCTTCAGGAGAAATACAATCTTTCACAAAGAGAAAATTTTCTGAATATATCACATCAGACTTCTGAGTATCATTCTTTTTTTTTTAAGTTATTTAACACCTGTCAGTATCAAGAATATATAGCATTGATAATGAAATCATTAATGAACAGTGGTTGAATGAGAATTGGCAAGGGAAACTGAAGTACTCAGAGAAAATCTGCCACAGTGCCACTTTGTCCACCATAAATCCTGCATGATGTAGCCTGAGACTGAACTTGAGCTGCCATGGTGAGAAGCTGGTGACTATGTTTTCTTTTTTATTTCTTGGGATGGGGTGAGACTGAATCCATTTTGTATGTCGGGCACTATTTGACTTATTGTGCCAACCCCAGATTAGATGATGAGTGTGGAGCAGTTGGTGGAATGAAATTTGACAGGGAAAACTGTAGTACTCGAAGAAAATCTACCCCAGCACCACTTTGTCCACAGCGAATCTCACATTACCTGTCCTGGGGTGGAACCTGGGCTGCCATGGTGGAAAGCAGGTGACTACCTCAGCTATGTCACACCCACAAGATGGCAACTAACTACCTGAGACATGGAAAGAACTATCCTGCATACCAGAAATTTAATTTTCAAGCCAATGCTGGTGTCAAGACCTACAATGAGTTTGAATCTGTAAAGCACTAGCTAGAATTCATATTAGTAAGTGGCCTAAAAAGAGAGATGCACAATTGTGGAGAGGAATAAGAACTTTCATACGCAGCCATGTGGCCCCAAGGAAAATAAGAGCAATAAGAGCTTAATTATTTCAGAGAATATTAGAGAATGAAAGGAGGAGTCAGGGCTTATAAAGGAAATTCAGTTTCGTTTTTTTTTCCTCCCCCCCCCCCAAGAGGATGGATAGAAGAATTGGAGAATGAAATCTGAATGGAAGAAATATATGCATTTTTTAAAAATACTAAAACTGGAAAGGTAGCAATGGAATTTTGGAAGGAGACGTTTCAAAATGCTTGGGTACAGTGGTAACCAAGGTAATTAGTAAGCTACATATTAGAAGCTAATGTTGTACATCTACTTAGTTAAGCAGCACACCATTAAGACCATTAAGACATATGGGGATTGGATGTATAGTTCCACCACTCTTGACCTCAGCACTAGATGAAGTGAGTGTTCACCTTCACACCCATACCACTTTATCATCTGGGAAAAAGCCCCCAGCACCCAGTGGATATGAGGCTGGGTGGACCCTAAAGCCACTTTGTACGCTGTAGACAAGATAAAAATCTCCTATCCAAAATTTCCATCGGTGTGTAGGGTGTTCATAGGGCCTCATAGGATACATGGACTTAAGTATGTTCTAACTTCCTTACACACGCAAGCAGTGCTATGACCATGCACATGGTCCGTACAGGTAACGTTTTGGGCCGTTAATATATATTACATACATACATACATACATATACATTTGCGTTTCAGATTATTCACAAATGTGCACAGGCACAGAATATAAAACATGTCAACAAGACATTGGAAACTTGTACATTCACAAACAAAATCACTAGCATATATAATCCATACTTGTCAAAAAAACACATAAAATTGTTAAAAGGAAATACAGATTGCAGCAAATACGCATACAATAGTTAAAAAGCAATACAAATTGCAACAAGTACACATACAATAGTTAAAAAGCAATACAAATTGCAGCAAGAATATATAAGCACAGCCAAGGACATAGAGTTAAATGAAGTGTACACTGTCAGACACCTCTTGACAGGTCTTGACAGAAAAGCAAGAATTCCTCAACAGTATAAGAAGGGTTTTGAAGCAATACATCCTTTAGTTTCTCAATAAACTGTTTTTTATCATGTACCAACTCAATTAAAAAATCAGGCAAACTATTAAAAACTTTTACACTCATACAATAGACCCCTTTTTGCCTCTTTGTTAGATGCGATTGAGGAACATGAAGGTTTCTAACTTGTCTTGTTGATTTACCATGAATTGTATGATTAAAAGTATAATGCCCCAGATTGTTTACCATTAGTATCATTAAAGATAAAATATATTGAGAAGCCAATGTCAAAATTTTTAATTTTTTAAAAACTGTTCTACATGATTCTCTGGGTTTCATTCCCAACATTATCCTGATGGCCCTTTTTTGTAAAAGAAAAATCTTCTTAGCCTCCCACGAGTTTCCCCAAAATACTATCCCATATCTCATAATTGAATGAAAGTATGCGTGGTAAATCATCTTTAGTGTTTCAATATTGCTATACAATTTCATGTTTCTTATTGCAAAGCATGCCTTGCCCAATCTGGACAGCATCGATTCAATCTGTGACTTCCAATTCAGGGTCTTATCAATTTCAATGCCCAAGAATTTAACGTGGGTTTCCTGATGCAATATCTCATCATTAAACTTTAAATGTATAGACATATTATCTCGATTAGTTGTATCAAATTTTACCACTTTAGTTTTCTTCAGATTTAGAGACAGGCCATTAACTGCAAACCAACGGCTTAAAGAATTCAACACTAAGTTAGACCTTACTTGGATTTCATCAATATCAATACCAGACACTACTATGCTTGTATCGTCTGCATACAACAATAACCTATCATCAGTATTTAATGCTGATGACAGGTCATTGATATATAAAAGAAACAGCAAGGGACCCAAAATCGAGCCCTGCGGCACTCCATATTCAACAATCTCCCATCCTGAACAACATTTTTCATTCCCATTAGTATACAATTCCACTCTTTGCCTTCTATTTCCCAAATATGATTTCAACCATCTTAAAGTTTTACCACCAAGTCCATATACAGCCAACTTGCTCAAAAGGATATCATGCACCACACAATCAAATGCCTTTGTCAAATCACAGAATATTCCTAATGAAAGACAGCGTCGTTCCAAAGTTTCTAATATATGATTAGTTAAGGCATAGATTGCAGATTCTGTACTTCTATTTTCTCTAAATCCAAACTGAGCAGATGAAATTAGATTATTTGTATGTAGGTGCTGCTTTATCCTATTATACATCGCTTTTTCAAATATCTTGGAGAAGATTATTAACAGTGATATTGGTCTATAATTTGCCATAACGACCTTCTCACCTGTTTTGTGTAAAGGTCTTACTGACGCAAATTTCATTCTATCGGGAAAAATTCCACGTTCAAGTGATGCATTAAGTATATGTCCAAGTGGTTTACTTATTTGATTAATGCTATATTTTAATATTCTGCTAGAAATACCATCATAGCCTGTAGAATTTTTCGATTTTAGTGTCTTAAGTATATTCTTTATTTCCACCTCAGTTACGGGTATTAATTTCAGTTCAGGTAAGTTATCATACTTAAGGTTATTTAATAATTTAATTGCCTCACTTTTATCAGCATTTTTTGTTGCCAAATTCTTAGTTACAGTTATAAAATGTTTATTAAATATTCTCACTAATTCCTTAGGATCCGTTACTCTACTTTCTCCCACTTGCAATTCTGTTACTTTATCTGAGACCTGGTTTTTTCCGGATTCTTTATTAATAATCTTCCAAGTTACTTGTATTTTATTTTCTGAATTAATTATTAATTTTTGATAATACAGTCTCTTTGCTTCTCTTATTACTCTTACTAGTATCTTACAATATCTTTTATAATATAACTTCAAACTATCATCACTTGATTTTTTAACTAAGATGTATAATGCTCTCTTATGCTTACAAGATATTCTTATGCCTTTCGTTATCCAATTATTAGAGTCTTTCTTTTTTTTATATACTATGGGAAAGCTATTTTCAAAGATTGATAAAAAAATGTTGTGAAAGATATTAAATTTCATATTTACATTCTCTTGATTATAAACTTCTATCCAATTTTCATTCTGTAAAGCCCGTTGAAAACATACTATGTTTTCCTCATTAATGTCTCTATATGCTCTAACATGATCACTTTGCCTCATCACCAGCATGTCTCCAAGTATCAGAATTTGCCCATCGTGGTCCGAGAGACCATTTATAGCAGAACAAACTTGGAATTTGTTATAAGCATTCTTGTCTATAAAAAAATGATCAATCAATGAGACAGAAGTAGTACTTATTCTAGTTGGAAACTCAATTATTTGTGTTAAATTATAAGTATCTAATAAAGCTTGTAATTCTGAAGGGCTTATAAAGCACAGAAATAGAGTCTAATTAAATGAAGAAATAAAGGTGATAAAACTTCTGCGCCCCTACGTGCTGCCATCAATTTGGAACTATCAACGTCTTACATGGTCTTACATATTGGTCACAGAGCTCATACTCTGGTTCGCTCTGGTTCTTATTACGCATTGAAGTTCACAGGCGATAATCCTCAGTTACTATATAGCGCTTTGTAGTACTCGGGTGATCATCGTAGGAAGATCCGTTGCGTGGGATTTTCTGTGTGATCCGCGGATGGTAGTGTGTCCGATAGGAGTCAAAAGGATCAAAAGTACTTAGAAGTTGGAATAATGGGGGGAAAGAGAATAGACCGAATAGACCGAATAGACGGTGTAAGCAGTGTAAGCAATAGTGTTGGGAAATGGTTCTTCGGGACATTTTACAGAAGACCGAATTTGAAGATACTATAAGGTTCGTAAATTATCACTACTCAGTGTGTATATCAATTTTTAGAATTTATGTAGCTAGCACATTTATTGAATTTGGTCTATTTTCAGTTCAGATGACCTAGTTGTTGTCCATTTTTATGCTGATTGGGCAGCACAATGTGGTCCCATGAATGACGTACTTGAAGAATTAGCCAAACAGGCAGAATTGAAAGTAAGTTAAAGATTACAACTAACGTTTATTTGTTGTATTTGTACATCGAAATTGTGTCATTAGGAATGTGTAAAATCACGAAATATGAAATGAAATAAGCTGTAAAAAAGGGAACATTTTTATGGGAAATTGCCAGTAGCAATACAAATAACACATTCTTTATAAAAATAATATTTTCTCCAATGAAGAATATAATAATAATAGATAACCTGAGACACAGATTAATACTTCACACTCTCAAAGAGTTATTTCATGAGACTGTAATTAGTACTGAACTGAATGGTAGCAAGCATTACCTGAATTAAGTTTAACCTTAATTTCCTCATGAATCATATTTTGATTTGTTATTATTGTTCCCACATGTTTGAAGTTTGCCACATTTTCAAAGGATCTGTTAGCTATCTTAATATTATGATTTTGTGCTCTACAAGTTTGGCCTTCCTTACATATAGAAAATTAGGCCAGATGTTCGAAACTGATCATAATATAATTTGTTTATGTAGATAAATATTTGCCACTTGAGACATGTTTTAGACTTCATATACAAACTTTTATCAATAGTTTTATTAGTCATTTATTGGTGTTTCATTTTAGTGTGTCAAGTTTGCAAAATGTCCAGCTGAGGACTTGCCAGAAGTGTCTTTGAAGTACTCTGTTTCCGCTGTTCCAACATTTCTCTTGCTTCGGAGTGGCTCACTGTTGGACAGAGTTGATGGAGCCAATGCAGCTGAACTTACAAAGAAAATTAACCTACAGGTTAGTACAGCATGGCACAATGTTTTGAGGTCTTGATGCCAATGGCTGTATCCTTTGTTCAAGCTCAATCCATAATGTGCAGTCAGCACCCATTTGGCACTCGTGAGTTTAGGCCTCCATGTTAACAAATCAGCGATCATTGTGATGATGTAGGTAGTGTTCATGAATTCACCAAGGCAATGGATCTGCTTGCATTGTACAGTTAAATATTTAAACTTTTCATGACTATTTTATGCTGAATGCAAAGTATGTTTTCTGACTTAAAAACTAATAAATTTGTCACCCCTAGCATAAATTGGATTCTAAAGGGTTCTGTCAATGGTGGATAAGACACAGAATTACTGAGTTTTGGGACTTTTTCCATTGTCTGGAATTCTAGGAAATAGAAAACATGATGTTTTGGAAACTGGATCTGTTTCTGTCTTTAAGTGAGGAAGGAGAAGACACCTACTGAGTTGGGCTCCTGGTCCAATGATTGGGATTAGCTCTTTCTAAGGGGCCCAATTGAGTAGGTGTCTTCCTTCCTCACCTGAAGACAGAAACAGATCCAGTTTCCAAAACATTGTGTTTTCTATTTCCTAGAATTCCAGATGATGGAAAAAGCACAAAAACCCAGTAATTCTATGTCCTAGCATAAATGTTTGCACAGTTGATTGTCAGCTTGCGCTTATTCTAGAACCTAATTGTATGGTGCTCTGAGTATCAAACTGTGTTAAAATGCAACTTGTTTTCTGATTATTATGTGGTAAGGTAAAGGTGAAGTTCCTGGGCTTAATTAAGTACTGTACCATGAAGACATATGGGGGAGTGGAGGTATAGCTGCACCATTCCTGACCTTCACACTAGATAGAGGTGAGTGGTCAGCCTTTTGCTGCAGTCACCCTATCACCCAGGAAAGAGCCTCCAGTACTCATGGTATAGGAGGATGGGTGCTTCCCAGAGCCAGTCTGGACACTGTGGAGAAGAGAAAAATCTCTTGCCCTGGCAGGAATCAAACCCTTGCTGTCCAGCCCATAGCCCATCACTATACTGGCTGGATTATCCCAGCTCAATTTGGATAAGGTGCAATACTAAACGTGTACACTGAGTAAGTTGACCCTTGTGGTAGCACATCTCACATGTATTTCAGAGGCACCCAGTGTGAATCTCTGTCCTGACTGAGATTTTCATAGTTTTTCTTTCTTCCTCCAGGAAAATTCTGGGATAGTACCTTAAATTAAACCACAACCATTTCCTTCCACATCCTTTCTAATTCAGTTTTCGCCGTTATCCACTGTTATGTAGTCTTGTGTTACTGACAAATAAATGAAATGAATGTGAACCACCAAGAGAGAACTCATATGAAGGAGTGCTGTGTTTGTACAGGTATCAAAATGTTCAAATATCACATCACCTGCCCCAGCCAAACCTGCTGCCCAAGACTTGACATCACGTCTGCATGGACTTATCAATTCCGCCCCAGTTATGTTATTCATGAAAGGAACAGCATCAGAACCAAAGTGTGGGTTTAGTAAATCAATGGTTGCCCTCTTAGACAGCCACGGAGCTCTCTACAAAACGTTTGATATTCTGAGTGATGAAGCAGTGAGGCAGGGACTAAAGTCATATTCGAACTGGCCAACATACCCACAGGTAACACAGCCTTATTTTAATCTAAGTACTTTCTCCCTGTTCAATGCAGAAACAGAATTGAAGAGTTGCTGAACTAGTACAAGTACACAGCTGTTATATGCAGTTTGTATGCTAATATCCAACAGTTTCTGTGCAGTACCCTACTGCTGTTTGAGCCTCTTAATTAGAAAGTTAACGGAACTATGAAATGGATTCAGAATTGTTTTCTTATATTTTCCATAAAAATAGCTGTAAGTAATGTGAGAACTTGTGTTCTCCTCAGCTTTACATCAATGGTGAGCTCGTTGGAGGTCTGGACATTGTGAAAGAAATGAATGAAAGTGGTGAACTACAGAAACTGCTGCCAAAGAAAACAACTTTGGAAACAAGGTACAGTAACTCTGACGACAAATGTCACATGGCTTCACAAACAATAGCGAAATCCTAAGTAATGGTTTGCTTTGTTTGTCTTTCAGACTGAAATCTCTGATAAACCAAAGTAAGTGTATGGTGTTCATGAAGGGATCCCGTGATGAACCACGCTGTGGCTTCAGTAAGCAGCTGATGGAAATTCTAAGAGAGGCTGGGTAAGTACTTAGTGATTCTTATCAGGAATTATTTATTTATTAAATGTGTTGTTACTGTACATGAAAAGTATGGCATTGGAGTGGTCTACACTGTGTTAACATTATACCAAAATATGTGAAAATTGGTCAGTTTTATTTCATATTTATTAATGGCATATTTAATGACAGTCACTAGCTCAAGAGTATATAGTATCGAGTGGGAGGATGGTTTACTAAGGATGTGGAAGGAAGTGGGTAATACCAAGGAATAGCACAAGAAGACCATGGACTTGTGTCGTGGCCAAGATTTATATCAAGCACCTCTTAGGCCAAGGGCACAACAAGGAAATTGGCAACCACAGTTTCAAAGAGTTGTTATCAGCCTGAGTTGAACACAGCAGTGCAAATTGAGGAAACGGCAACACAGTTTCCTAAATATGTGTTGCTAAAAACCTACATTGGTATAATTAGTGCCTCATAACTTCAGACGCGCGGAAAGGTAAATGCTGTTGTGGAGCATACAAAGCTGTACGCTTGCTGTGGTGACATTCAGAGCTACTCCCCAAGCAGAAAACTTTGCCTACAGAGACCAGGAGTAGTACTATACACCTGACAACACTCCAAGATGCTACATTCCAAACAGGTAGTACCCACGCTGACGTAAGCTGATAAGACTGCTCTGCGAGAAATGGTATAACCCCTCTACCACGACTAGAGTTCCGAGGAACTAACAGTACTGAATATAAGCTGGCTAAAAAGTATAAATTCCGAGTAGTGACCATAGTTTCAGTTTTATTTCTTGTTTGTTTGTAGCATCAAGTTTGACACCTTCGACATACTTACTGATGAGGAAGTGCGTCAAGGGCTGAAGACTTTCTCCAATTGGCCAACATACCCCCAAGTATATGTCAAAGGAGAACTCATTGGTGGATTAGACATTATCAAGGAGCTAAAAGAAAGTGGAGAGTTGCTAAATACATTAAAAGGAGAATCATAATACTTCTTCAAACATAGATTTTACATAGTTGCTGCATTAAATGACTGTAGATTCATTAAAATGTAATTTTCATCTTCTGTGATGCTAAGAAAAATATTTGGCTCTAAAATTAAACTTAGTTAACCAGTTTATATGTGCTTTCCTTATTTCGTTACAAAGATGACATGGATTTTGATGAAACTTGATGTGAACATTGTACCTTTGTATTTAAGTGCCCTACTATTGGCAAACCAGTATGTTGGTCTTGCAGTCTTCTGAGGTTGGAGAAAATTGGCATTAGGGCTCTGGGGTGAGAGGTCTGTTAGTTATTGTTCAGATGGGTTCATTGTAGTCCTCTGGTGAGTGCCAGTTCACAAACATGTAATTAAGTAATCACAACCGTATTATCATGGAATCACTTGTTACAGTATGTAAGAACACTGTCGTGGGAATTAGCACTATAATAACACTGTTAGTGAGTTCCAAGTAACTTATGTATCTGTTCTGTGCCATCATGATGGCTGCTTCCCACCAAGCTGTGGAGTATGACGTATATTAGCAAAATGGCTCATTAACACTGGCTTACCACATGATGTGGGGATGATGTAACCTAAAGCCTCCAGCCCACGCAGTGTTATAAATGAAATTACAAAACCATTCCTGAACAAACTCTTTAAAAATGTGTATCTTTCATGTATGTTATTATTCTGTAGGCTAAATTTAAATGGTGCCTGTGTAAAGTTTGTGTTAGTAATATATAACGAACTGCAGCTAGACATTAGAAATTTGGTATATAAAGGTAGATGATATATATAGTGTTGCTTAAAGTGGAACTGCAAGGAGTCTGCAGATTGGATCATGGCAGGCCAATAAAAATCTGCCATTTTGTTTGATTTTGTTCAGAGGCAAGGAAAGGGTTAATAATAAATATTTTAAGAGTTTTGGATCAACTGACATTTATTCATGTTTGCAACTCAAAAAGGATATACAACATACTTGACATGTACCTTAAAATGAACCAAATATTATCTTGATAATGAAGCTTCACATTTATGCTTTTTCCTAGGACGTTTAAGAAATTCTCCATGGGATTCTTTTGCCTTTTTAATTGCTATCAAAATATTCTGCATTGTCCATTCGTTTGAATCCAACATGTCTTGCTCCATAAATGGACCTTGCTGGAATCTGTGAAGTTCTCTGACATGAGCACAGCTTCCTAATGCTGAAATATAGAATTTGAAACATTCTTTTTTAATCGCATGAAGACCTTGTCAGTGGTACCCTGCCTATCCATGAAGCAAGATTTAAATAGATAATTAAGTCTGCTGTGCACTGATGACCAGAATATTTTAATTTTATATCGTTGGAATATATTGATAAATAAAATACATTCTCTGGCAATGAAAAGACCACCGATGTTGCTGTTATCTGTTGGTCAAAAGAAAATACTGACATAGTCTAGGCACGAACTTAAAACGTTTCAAGAGACATGGTATGGCTATTTGGCTGACCATGTTTTTGAAACAATATAAACCGACAATCAGTTAAGATAACTGTTGCAAACTTGAGGTTCTCACAGTGATCTGTAGTTATTAAAATGATTCAGCCGCAAAAGTTATATAGTTTAGAATTAAATGAGAAATTGATCACAAAAGCAGAGTAGGTAAGAAGTTTTGAAAGGAGATGATTGTAGTATACTTCAAACTAGTAAACAGCCTTTATCTGGAGAGACTGAGGAAAACCTTAAATAAACTGAAACAGGACAGCATGTAACCCAGCTGTGGGAATTCCACTTAATATTTCTAGAATATGTAATCTAGAAAGTTACTGCTGTGCTCGATACCATTACATGAAAGTACTTCTTCGCTTTTGTCTCTAACCTCATTTCAGAAATACAGTGGAACCTTGCTTAACGAGCATAATTCGTTCCAGAATCTTACTCGTAATGCGAAACACTTGTTAAGCGAAACAGTTTTTCGCATTTAAATTAATGTAAAATACGATAATGCATTCCATGCCGAAAAAAATACTCAAAAAATTTTATGTATAACGTTCATTCAAAGAAAATTATATATACATTGTTAACGAGCGTGGATCATCTTCATCTTTTCTTCTATGCAGAATGAACCAACCTGGAATGCGAATTCGATTTGCAGAAAACAAAAAAAGAAATCAAAATAATTAGTTTATTATTTATGATACATATCTAATTCTTTTTTACTAGAAAGCTGTCTTGAGACATTTGTTTTTGTCGATGCTTCAAAATTTGGTGAAAATGTGACACAGCATTATCATTAAATAAATTTGTAGCGCACATAGCCACTGCCTTATTAGGGCGATGCTTCTCAATGTACAATGCAACAGTTTCCCATGCTTTCAGCATTTCCCTTATTGTGCCAGAAGATTTTGCTTTGCTGTTACCTCCTCTGACAAACTCTCCTCCACAAGTTCTTGCTGTGAAACACAATGCAACTCAAAATCGTGCAAATCGTTGATGTAGACCAATTGTATGTGTGTGTTACATTAACCAACGCTCACACCTCGTTCTCACTTTTCAATGATTTTATGTTTCATTTCTACAGTTATTTTTATTCTCTTATGGCTGTCTTTTTGCGGCTTTTTCTTCGGGGACAATTTTGCAAGAGTTATTAAACTTGGCACAAAAAGATCACAATATGTCTGAACACAAGTTTGGAAAAATGTGTGATCACAAGCGACACTAAGATGCTAGCGGAACGACTGCTAAACACAGAGTGATGTAGCAAGCGCACAATCCGGGACTTCCCCTCTCATCACTCGTTAAGCGAGGTTCCACTGTATATTTTCTGTATCATTATAATGTATCTGTGGAAGCACACAACAGATGCAAAGGGGAAAAGTTTACTTATTTTTCAAATTTTAATTTTAACTTTGTCATCATTTTGAAGAGAATTATGATAAAATGACAAAAAAGTATGATATTTTAAAAGACAGCAGCAGCATATCCCCTGCTAATCTTACAGCTGCTATACTTACCAATGCCAAGATCATGTACCAAGCTTCGAACATAAAAACCTCCACCACAGTGTACCTCCAGTGTGAAGGATGGTGGTGAGAAGACAGTGCACTGGATGGCATGACAAGTGACAGGACGTGGGTTCAGATCCACTGATATTCCAGCCCTGTATTCAATATAACATAATCGGTTAACTGGAAAAGGGAATCGTCCCATGGCTGAAAAGTAGATATGTTCCCCTTTTCATTAACTTGATTCAGTTATTACATCAAGACTAAACCAGTGCATATCAAGTGTTATAAGTCTGAGGTTTTCATGGTAGTAGCTCACATTGTGGTCTTCTGAGTTCTGATACCATGCAGTCTTGTAGGTCAATATCAGTGTTTAGAAGGAACATGCTGCCTCCATCGTCAGGGTCAAAGTGTGTAGGGTAAGGAATCAATTGAGTTATACAGATAGTCTGCAAGGGAGGGGGAGAGGAAATATAACCTGACGTAGGCCAACAAGAACAGTGCCAAGGAAAATGGTGCTTCTGCTAGAGTCATGTGTTGAGATATGCAGTGGGAATGTATATCATGCTTCACAATAACTTTTCTCAACATGATTACAGATTAGAGTAATGTTGCATGTGAGAAGCAAGATGAAATATATGTTTTATTTAGTGGGGGTGGAGTCCAACTGGGTCCACTCGGCACAGCGGCCACTGATTGGCCTATTGTAGCCTGCGCCGGGTGATTATGATGATGGAGAATTTGGTGGAATGAAGAATGGCAGGAGAAACCAAAGTACTCGGAGAAAACTCACCCCAGCGCCACTTTGTCCACCACAAATCCCACTTGACCAGACCCGAGATCAAACCCGGGCCACCGTGGTGGGAAGCCAGCAACTAACTGCTTGAGCTATGGCGCAGCCAAGATATATGTTACTGCTGTTCCAAAAATACCCACTACCTTCTGACTGTACCCAACTCCCCATCAGTTTTATCCTACTAGGGCAAGTATACAGACTCCATATGCAAAGTGTACATTATGTAGGTTCTGCAGTTCTCGCACCAGTGATTATGAAAATTTCTATTTTCTGGAATATAACCATGTAGTCCATTGAAAGTCAACAAACATGTCACCTCCATCTTCAGGATTGAAGAATAAGCCACGAAAGAAATCAGTTTCCCACCCGCTTTCACGATGGTTTCTTGCTCGGCTTATTCTTCATTCCTGAAGATGGAGGTGACACATTCTTCTGAAACGTTGACTGACTTTCAGTGGATTAGGCAACATTAAATCTGATAAGTTAGAGGTCTTCAAAGTGTACATTATGACATTCTGTGGTGAAAGTCTGGCCTCTATTTTGTAGACACATATGAAATTGTACAATTAGTAACTCAAGTTCCACTTATAAATGACTATGTTGAAATCTTAAAAAACCTACTTCAGTTCTGTCCAAGATGATTGTGAAATATTACAGATAAAATAACCAGTAGTAACTGGTGTCATTTCTTATTTTCGGTTCTTAGACCCTTTTGTCATTAAGCAATGCACTGTTGTACTTCATCTAATGTTAAAATTTTTTGATGCTCAGTAAGAAGGGCTGAAGTCAAAAATCATTGTGAAAAGCATAAGTTAACTAAAGTACCTTTATACCAATGATATGCCACTATTTCTGACCTAAGGTCCAGGTTCCATGCTTGTAACTTTCACTGTATGACTACTCAAGCCTTTAAAGCTGTTTAGAAAAAAAATGAAATGGCCTGAGTCCAACTTGACATTTGGCTTAAGGCCTTCAAACCCAACACTGAAATATTCAGGCAGCTACCTCACCTCAACCTTATGCAGAATGTCTCTTAAGACCCACCTGGCTTCCTGTTCTGTGGGGCTGGCAGTCCCTTTTCTAGGCATAAAGGACCCCACTGACAAGTTAAACTGCTCAAGAGTCTTACCTGTGCATCTCCATACATCTTAATGGCATGACGTTTTAGTAAAGGAAAGAATGAATAAAAGGAGTTAGTGTCATTTATGCGTCTTTTCCAACTGTGTAGGTTATAGAGTGTAAAAATGACTGGGAAGGATATGGAAGGAAGTGGTTGTAGCCTATTTTAAGACACTTGAAGAGAATGAGGAACAGCCTGAAAAACACTGTCATGACATCTGAAAGATGAACGGAAGTAAGAGGACAATGACTTTAGGAGAATGGAGTGGAAATAAGGGCAGGATAAGAAAGGACAGTCATTATGTCTCTGTTAAGCATGCTGATAGGCTTACCTTGTTAGATCAGCTATGCGGCGGCCACGCAGCTTTAGAGCAGAGTATAATGGTGGAGTCTGAAGTATCTCGCCATGATATCTGGACAGTGCTGCTTCTAACATCTGTCTCGATATATGACCTATGGATGCGTACATGAGCAGTTATAAAAACTAACTTTATGGATTAAAATAACACTTTTAAACATATTTATAAATTTAAGATGACTGTGTGTTGGAATGTGATGCCATATTATATGTCAGAAAGTTATGTGTTTTGGATGAAACCACTGCCTCCATTTTCAGGGTACCCTGAAGATGGAGGTAGCAGTTTAATCTCTGACAGACTACATGGTATCACATATCAGAATACACTTTAATATGTATTTAATCTAATTCATAATTTGTATTTAGATAAGGATAGGGTCCATGTATGCCTTCATGGTGCTTAGACACAGAGTAACTTTGCTTACTATAGGAGCATTCCTGTATTATATTTCCAGTCTCATTGTAGGTATCGGTGGCAATTCCTAGATGACCTGTCACGCAATACTTCTTGTTTCCATGTAGCAGTCTGGGGAGGATCTTGCATCCAAAGCCAACACCAACAACTGGAATATGAAATTATTGTGAGCCCCTTCCATACAGTGTTATTGAGAATCATTGGGTAATTCTCTGTTTTGAAAATCATTTTCTTCTGAAATGTGATGCTGTGTAATCTGGTAGATGGGTGTTGTTTTGGAGGAACATGAAGCCTCCATTTTCAGGGTATCAAGATATAGAGTTGTACATGCCTAACGAACTACACACCATGCCATCTCAGCGGACAGTAATCTTCTTACCTGCTGCAGCAAGAACCTCAGATCACACATGTGTTTTGATATCAGTACAAACAAATTCTTTTGCCATCTGTTGGCAACTAATGATTTCTGTCTTTCTTCATCATATTTTTAAACTGTCACTTCTCATACTTCTTGTATAAACAGTTTTGTACTTAAGGTTACCTCAGAAAATACAGAATGTTGGATGATAGTTACACACACTTAATATATACTTTAATCCTTCCAAGAAAAATAGAAGCAATGGAGATTAAGTTTCTGTGTAGTCGCAAGAAATTAACAAGGGACAAATTATGAAACCAGGACACTTAAATACAATCTGAAGAAGAAACATTACACTTAACAATAGGTTTCCTATTAGTGCTTCAAAGTGAAGATGGTGGGAATACGTAGTACAACAGACTGTAGAGAAAGACTGACCACAGATGTAAGCCTGTGTGAGGTTAGGGAAGAGTAAAGAAGGCTTTGTTGTAACAGAGAAGGGATGGACACATACAGAATAATGGGATAACCCACCCTGGTAATATACCAATATATGATTAATCCCAACTGGAATAGAGACAATTTTTGATTAGTTTGTAATATCGGTTCTGAATAGTTCAGTACCTAGAACTCCAGTTGCTGTACTATCCAGTGTTCCACCATGGCCGACTTTCAGAGATGCAGGATGAACTCTGGGTTCTATGCCTAAGAAATCAAGAAACTAATAGTAACAATATATTTGTAGACTGCAAATTAACAGAAGCCTCTGCAATCAAGTTATAACATGTGGACAGTACCATCTCGTGTGCTTAATTCTGTACAATGGCTAGCAATTCAAGTGTCGGAGTAAACAGGGCTTCTCTATCTTATGACAGGTTCCGGTTCAAATCTTGGCCCAGAAGCCAAGCATCAGTGTTTATAGAAATTCCACTGCCCACTGAATTCAGTTAATATCAAACTTCAATCATACAGACAAAGTATGACAAAACCCATTGAAAACTATGGTTAACTGGTAACTTGACACTTTGTGGCATTACTGAAAACTATGCTTTTTTAAGATGTGAGGTTTTCACAGCGGTGACTATGAAGAAAGCTGTCTTCTGAGATGTGGCGTCATGTAGAAATTGTGTTAACCGGCGTTTTGGAGGACATAACGGTCAGTTTTGATGTAGTGTCACTCTTCACCAGGGTGCTTATAGAGGATACTATGGATCTGCTAGGACAACATTTCGAAGAAGATATCTCGAGTCTTCCGCCATATCCAGACTACCTCATACTTCATCTTCAATGGCCAGTTCTATGAACAAACCGATGGTGTGGCGACGGGCTCGCCACTGTCTCCGGTCATCGCAAACTTATATATGGAGGACTTCAAGGAGAGGGCACATGACTTGGCCCCACACAAGCCCCGCTGCTGGTTTCACTACATGGACGATACCTTCGTCATCTGGCCACACGGTCCCAACAAGCTCAAGGACTTCCTGAACCACCTAAATAGTATCCACCAGTGCATCCACTTCACAATGGAGACTGAAATTGAGGGCCACCTCCCCTTCCTGGATATAGATATTTACAGGAGACCCGACGGTTCTCTGGACCATAGAATGTACTAAAAATCCACCCATACAAACCTCTACCTCAACACTGCATTCCATCACCACCCTTCCAACAAGCAAGCTGTACTTTCCACATTGGTGCACAGGGCTAGAGCTCTATGCAATCAAGACAACCTACATGCGGAGATGATACTCCTGGGGGATGTTTTCAGGCAGAACGGTTACAACAACCGGCAGATCCACAGACTTCTCAACCGTTGGCCAAACATCAGTTGGCTCGAAGATAAACCGGACTTGGTTGCCTTCCTGCCTTATGTTAGGAATGTATTCAACCGCATTAGCAGAGTGCTGTCCCTGCACATCATCAAATCAGTGGGCCTGCCTCCAAATAAATTATCTAGTTTCCTCCGGCCGGTCAAAGATAGCCTGGGACTAAGGACACCAGGTGTATACAGTATCCCACGCGAGTGCGGCAAGGTCTATATTGGGCAGACAGGCCGTTAATGTGGACACGAGGTTGAAGGAGCATCAGCGGCACATCCATCTTGAACATCCACTTCCAGACAAGTCAACTGTGGCTGAACACAGCATCGATTTAGAACACCACATTCAGCTTCAGAATACCTCCATCCTTGGTACCACGACCCATTATATGGATCGCATCATTAGGGAGGCCATTGAGATTGAACTCCATCCCGACAATATGAACAGAGAGGTGGGGTTTTGTCTCAGCAAGTCATCGAAGCCTCTCATCTTTTCCCTCAAGTACCTTCGAAATACGGCAGACCCTATAGGCCACTCAGGTCCATCGCAGCCGCCAAGCTACAGGGTTAATGCCCTCCATTTAACCTTCCCTTCTCTCCTCCTAACACATACTCTATAGTCTATACCAGCTCTGGCCCACTACCTGCTGGCTACTCCACCAGACCCTTCCCCTCTCCTCTCTACTATTTCCCTATGTAGCCACACTCCTTCTCTTATACAGCTGTGTTTACTCGATTGGACTCAGTCTGTTGCACCTGCTCTGCTGCTTCGCTCGCGAATTTCTTTTTGTCTTCTACCCTGAAGATGGAGGCGATACGTTCCTCCGAAACGTCGGTTAACATAATTTCTACACGGCGCCACATACCAGAAGACGGCTTTCTTCTTATGCTTTTTTTAATTTCTGTATAATTGGACAGCATATTACAGGCAAATTCTTTACAGTACCATGAGACAGTGATATCGAAACTGTACCTAACCTAAGAGTTTCACAGTAATAATAACCTTTCAGCAAAATTTCTTTTATTGTCTCGAGTACTTCAACGGAAGTCAAATTTTTAATTTTATTTACTGCAAAAACTCCTCGCTGAAGGAGTTTCCTGCATTCTGAGTTTGTAAAAGTTGGTACAAATGCACTTAAGAAACGCACATTACGAGATACACACATCCCAACTCCACATATAAAATATTTTGAAGCCTAAACGGCATGGGTCCTATAGACCCTATTCACGCTATTGACATCGACGACGGCTCGGATCTCGATAGCTGTGACATGGAACTGACGTGAATATCCAAAGAGAATCGCCACTGAGAAAGACACCATGGTAAGCAAGTCTTGGGTACTGATAATGTTTCCTGAGTGTGCTGAAGTATCTTTGGAATTAAGATATGTTATGTGATTGGCTAGCAAAGCTCCTTTTAAAATGGAGAAGGAAGTGCGGTAAGGTAGAAAATTGTGTTGTTAAGAATTTTGCCTTTATTGCTTTGTAACGTTATCAGAATTGAAATTTTTATATCAGTTTAGATGTACAATACGTCAGTGATATATATATATATATTATGGTCGTAGATAGCAATTGCTAACGCATTTACAATGCGTGGACATTCAGCAGCTTTTAAAGTGTCTGTAGAATGGTCGTGTTAAGTTAATCGTATGTGTTCCGTTTTAAGTACAGTTTTATGGCTTAGAGCGCAGGTGAGATGTTCGGTGTGAATTTACACTGAAATTTGTGGTGTAAAAGCGAATTAAAATCCAGAGGCCCAAATATTCTGTAATTTAACGAGTTCTAGGAATTCCATTCCTATTGTGCAAATTTCTAAATTGATTTTTTATATAAGGGTGTGGGCAGTTCCCACTTTCGAGGAAAGTTCTTCAGAATATTATTTTGGCAGTCTCTACGGTCTAACCAAATTTAACCGTGAAGACAGTCAAACAATTGTCGGGAACAAAACATAGTTGTGGGGCACAGAAACTATACAACTCAACTTTCTTAAAATTAAAAAATCTGTGAACATTGTCTGCCTCCTTTCTGTTCCCATCTGATATACCATTCTTAAAGCATAATTGCCTGGTCAGAGCATTTGCCAGTCATTTGTGGAAGGTTTTTTCACAAGTAACATAAAGAGGAAACCATTGTGAAACGGGAATATCATATTAATTACCTTGTAAATAATTCTGTTAATTTTTCTGAATAAGCATTTTTCATTTTTCTCTATAATGAATTAACTCAGCCCATATAGTCTCTAGGCTAGATGCTGGATGACTGGGGAGGGTGAGCTTAAGTCCTGGTGCAAGTAAAAATTATTCTGTTTTCCACTGCAGCATACTGGCTGTGGAACTCAACCATTTTGCTGTCCAGTAGGTAATGAAGGTTCATAGAGGTAAAGGGTCCTCATGTGAAGTCAACTACTCTGAGTTATTGCTGCATTAGTATGTGGAGTTATACGTCCACTCTCCCATACATCATCATGGAATGGTGCTTAATTGACCACATGGATGGCGTTACCACTCCCACAGTGAACACCATTTCATGTAAATGTGTCCATTAATTGCTGGTGGGAAATCACATTGTAAATGTATGGCTCTAGAAACCCTTTCCTTCATTTGAGTAGATGGTAATGATAATGCTTATATGTCAAAGCCCATCTACTATGCAAACCAGGATGCCATACTTTGTATAGGCAACCATACAGAGGAAAGCCTCATGTTAAGTATGTTGAATGTACAATCTAGTAATTTTCTAAATATGATTTAATGGTATTGAGACGTGAAAAGGTCTTGAAGACCGAAGTTTGGTTTGTGAATAGGATGTACAAACTTAAAGACACTGTAACAAATATATCAAATGACAGTATATATATTAAATACTAAATGCGAATACAATGTAAGTCCCTGGAGGTAATAGGCCTCCGGCAATCAACTAATCAAAATCGTACAGCCCAGGAGAAGAGTGAATCGACTGAACAGTTCAAGCTTCCACAACAGAATGGATCACCCTCGTTGGACCTCAGCCGTCCAGAACCAGGAAGTGGAGCAGTGGAATGGGGAAGGTAGTAAAAAGGGGGACGCGCTCTGACATAACGCAGACACTGCATTACAGTATGTGTCTGAATGACAGTGCTCCCTCATTGTTGTAATAGATAGAGTATATATATTTGCAACACATCGATCAAGGGGGATTTTGCTTCATAGCCATTGCTTTTTAAATTTGTTTTATAATGCACTGTTAGGAGAGTGAAATCAAATAGAACTGGAGCTGAAAGCAGCACTTCTGTTGGCATGTCAGTAGCTTGACTGTATAACTGAAAGAGATCTGTAGGGGAGGTATCATCTCTCACTAGTGGATAGCATTGTTCTTTACAGTGTAGAGGGATACAACTACGCATTTGTCACATTTTTCTTCCTATGTATATTTTTTAACAACCAGAGTGTGAGATTAGATGTTCTTATGGCAGTGACAAAGAAGGGACTGAGTGAAGCAATAGAAGGAGCAAGGAATAAAGTAGAACAATAGTCTTGGCCCTATGAGGCAGTAAAACAAATGGCAGAAAAGGTACTACCTAATTGGAAAATTCCAGGGTGATAAAAGTAAAAGGTAAAGTTGTCCCTGTGCTTAACTAATTAAACATTATGCATTAAGGCATATTGGATGTGTAGATCCACATTTTCTTGACCTTGACACTAGCTGGAGGTGAGTGGTCAGCTTCACGCCTCTGCTGCTTTACCCCCAGGGAAGAGCCCTGGTACCCATTGGATAGGTTGGGTGAACCCCAGAGCCAGTCTGTACGACATGAACAGAAAATTCTTGAACCTACTAGGACTCGAACTCCAACCCCTAAATCGTACAGCCTGTAGCCAGGCGCTATAGTGAAATGAATCTAAATGGAATAAAGTTTGGGGACCTGAACCTGTAGGATGTGGAAGGAAGGAAAACAGAATAATGAGCATGCCCCCTTATGAGGGCAGAGGGAGCGGAAGTGTAGACTACTCACACGGTCCATTGTGAAACAGGGTTATAAAGACTAAGAAGGTTTTGGTTCTTTCACCCTGATTCCCGCTGACATGTTCATATGTAATTTGCATCTTTTGCAATTATTTCATATTGAACATTTCATTTTTAGGGTGTAGAGGGGACGAAGGTTGAATCATAAAATTTGAGATGGTAAAGTGCAGTTTTTAAGGGGAAAGTATCAGGTAATATATTTAAATGTATTGTCATGTATAACATTGACATTTGTACTTGAAAACGTTTGCAGTGCCATCTACTAGCAAATTGGTATTGCCGTACGCGTACAGTGCAAGGGAATACGTTTCCAACCAATAGCATAGAAGTGCATATCTGTAATCTGTAATGCTGACGAATGCGGTTACATTTTGAGGACGGTGTACAAAGACGAAATGCTGTGTTTGATGGTTTTCACGCCGTGCTCTAAATAAATAGCATTTTTAGGTATATTGTGTGAGTAATATTTAACAGGTAGTATGGGTGTTTACGTTTGGCTTTTGATATTGCTGTACATTGGATGGTTATGTAAGGTCAAGTGTTGGAATGGTGTTTTTATGTCATAATTTCATTTAGCTTTTAGGGCCTGACATCTGTGAATAAGAAGGCTTAGGTCCATTGTAATGTGACACCATGTGGTCTGGCATCAACTTGTGAGAAACATAACTTCATCCAGCTTGGGAAAGGTATGTTCGCAGGAGTATTGCACCATTTAACTCGATGTGATTTTTTTTACTGAACGGTCTTGAAAATGTTTGGGATAACAGGCGAAAAATTAAACATGGTCTTCTGCACAGCCATGTTTTTCTATCTTCTTGTGTATTAATAATTTGCTACAGTATTAACTCAGTCTCTGCAGCTGTCCTTTTTGTGTATGCACATATAATGATGATGGAACCATGAAACCACGTCTATACACTTATGGACAGATGTTTTATATCCTGTAAACTTCAGACTTTGGTAAAACAAACTTTTAAAATTTGTTGCTAACAAAAAGATCATAACTGATGCACAGATAAACCATAATGATCTTATAAATGAAAACATCAGCATTTATATAAATAGATATTTAATCCCATCTTAATTGTGTAGGGTTGTGGCCGATTTCTTTATGCGTGTGGGTGACATGATCCATGAGGGATAATTGGGTATGTAAGATATTTCTTACTAATTGCCCAGAGAAGTTAGTTATAATTACATGTATATCATTTATTTTGTCATAATGCCCATACCACATTTCATGAAAATTGGTCAGTCATTTCATTTTTTGGATATGGGCTCGTGCAGACAGAATATGGTGATATAAGTCCTTCTTTACTATTATTGCTTTTTAATTTATTTAAAAGTGAGAAATGTGGGCAAAAGACAGCCTTGTTTGAGTTACTACATACAACACAGTTTGCACTCTGCAAATTTAATATAGCATCTGATATAAACATAATCATGTGAAGGATTTGCAGCCAAAATTGTTTCCCATATTAAAGGCATGTGTGAAATATTTCTTAAAACTTTGGAATGTATGATGCAGTAATTTGGAATTTTGTGCCCCTTTGGTTATGACACAAATATTTGCTGTTATATTTTAAAATAATTTCGAATATGTTTGTATCAAATATATTGAACCATAGTAAATACTGTGTCTTTCTGCATTCTGTTGTATTTAAAGAGTGACTTAGATCTCTTGCTCTGTAAAAGAGAATGAGGCAGTATGCTTCAGCAAGAGCATTAACATTTTTGTCTCCCTGTTCTGAATTTGTGCCCTTTATTTTATAATACAGAGTATTTTACACTGATTAGCAAAATATGAAAGCTTTACTCCTTTGTGACAGGAAACACGAATGGTGTGATGTTCTACTATATTACCTTCGAAACACTGAGTCTTCGGGAGATGCTTGGGAACTTCACGGGTGCTTGGACCATTCTGGGATGCTTAAGCCAAGACGGGGTTTAGAATTCCACACCTTGAATATTAAGATTTCAGGTATTTATTTTTAATTCTCTATTCATTTAGTGTAAAATTAAAGAACATTAAACTCCATCCACCCAAAAATAAGTGAATTTCTTTCTTCCTTGCTGCAAAGTGCCAGAGCCACAGCATTATCTAGGTATGGAAATGTTGCCTGTCAAGACGGGGTAGTATAGGTAGTGTTCATTGAAATGTTTTAGAGTTTTCACAAAGTTTGAGTCTGGCTTTTTCCATTTTGAAAACCGTAGATGTTCGAAACCTGTTTATGTGCTCTATCTGAAATTTGCAGAACTTTGTACTTACAACCACGCTACACTTTCTCTAACTGTACAGCTGCAAACATGGTATTCTTAAGTAAAGGGTGTTCAGTCATTGAGGAAACCTGGCAACAGGGCTGAGTGGGCACAACGTTCCTCACAAATTGCTGCTGTAACTGCCAGTAGCAGAATGAGTCATTAACACTCATAAATGCGGGCCGTCAGGTGGTTTGCTCTTATCACTGCAGTAAATCGCATTAATAGTTGGTCTGTGTTAGAGGTGTCAGTAGGCGGTAGGCGTTTATACTGAAATGAAGTTCACTATTGAACAGCATATATTTATTGTCAAAACTTAAAAAAAATGTATTCATAATTTTCATCGTAAATATCCTGATTCACCAGTTCCCACAAAGTTGTGTGTATCCAAGCTTGTGAAAAAGTTGTGGGCCACAGGTTCAGTGTGTGTCATAAAGAAGCAATCAAAGAAGATTGTGCCAACTGTAGAAAAGGTTTCAGGATATTGCGGCACGACTACAGATCAGTCCTTGAAAATCGTTAAGACGTTTAGCACAGGAAACCGGTGTTTCGCTAGGATCTGCTTTCACAGCCACAAAATTTGTCAAATTTCACCCATATAAAATAACAGTTGTGCATGAGCTGAAACAATCAGATTATGCAACAAGAATTCATTTTTGCATCTGACTGCTGCAAAATGTGCATGTTGGAATCGTGGATCCCCAGCTTCTGTTCATGACTGATGAAGCATGGTTTCACGTTAGTGGTCATGTCAGCGCACAAAATGTAAGAATATGGAGAGATGAAAATCCTCGCGCTATACAGCAAGTTCCATTAGGGTCATTCTGTGTGAAGTCATCCAGATAGGTCGCTCAACCATTTTTTACAAAAAAGATGTATTTTGTACACTTATTTCTACATATGTTCATACTTCAAAAATATTAAAAAAAATTAATCTGCTCAATTCTCCCGGTATAGCTGTTTTTATAATGGAAAGAAAACGCATTTTTGGCTGAAATGGAAGTTTGTGTTATCTTCTATATCTCGATAACTATTGAAGCTAGAGACTCCAATAAAAAACCGATCTGTTCCTCATGATATGGGCCACAAATCTTGTCATTACAAGTGTTTACTCAACTCACTTCCTCTGGGTATAATTTGTAACCATTCCACTGTGATGCAACCTATTTAAAGGAAATTAACTTTATTAATTTGAAATTTTTAATTGTTCATAATGAGATGCAATGAACAAGTGTAGTGAGGCATAGGTCCATTCTTGTATGTAAGAGTTAGCGTCTTCCCACGTTTACAGCAGAAACAGGAAGACACCCCGTCACGGGTTTCTTAGAATTGTCACATGCAAGTGTAACTAGGAAATCTTTTGTGAATTCAATACTTGGCAGCTTGTGCATGCCATAACTTAAAAATAGTGAAGGGTTTATATCTCAAGCCACGCTTCATCTTTGTCAAGATTCTGACAGAAGTACGTCGGGGCTCAGAAACATAAATGCCTTGTAAGCTTTAAATGGAGTGGAGGAATACTTAATTAAGATACTCCTTTTTATGTGACCAATCACTAAAATTTTAAGGGTGTGACAAAGCAGAGACGCCGAGGGAACAAGGACTTGATGGTTCGAAGTGAAATCAGTGTTGAAGCAGTCACACACTGGGCCCCGTAAAAATTAGACGTAAAAGTTGTCAAAGGAGTCACACACCGGGCTCTGTGGGAATCAGAAGTAAAGTCTCACACTCCGACCCTTGAGGAAACCAGATTTAAAAGTTACAGGCCAGATCTCGGTTAAAAAGTGGTGTGAATCTTGTAGAAACAAGAAGTGAAGTGCATCTGATGGTAGTCAGTTGTACAGTGTTAAGCGTGACTAAACAAGTGTCTACTAATAATGATAATACATCTGAACTTGAAATGTGCTTCTGTAGTTTGTGTTTAATTTCTTGCTTCTTTAAGTTGTGGCCCATTTAAGGCTCTGAGATAAGAGAACTCAGCTCTACCGAACCAACCACCACACCTCTTCACAAATCAATTAACCCTGAGATAAATTTAGTACAAGAAAGAAGATAATAAATTCGAGTGCAAAGAGAAGGTAGGTGAGAGAGAGTACAGTTACAAATTAAGCCTGAAACTTACCTATCAGTTTTGGGGAAAAAAAGTATTTTTGACCTTCAAACACAAATGGGAGGGGGAAGTATCAGATCTGTGGTTTCTGCCCTTTGTTGTTGCCTACGTGGGAATATAATCACGTAGTTTTGAACCCCGTACCTATTTTCCCAAATTTTCCAGGGGCTTCCAAACTTTGATCTGGGCCAAAAATTGGCCATTTTTAACATCTCATATCTCCGGTGGAAGCTTCAAAAAATTTTTAAATTCGTAGTAAATAATGCTCTATTCTAGAGTAACTTGGAATTAAAATTATAACTTTGATATTCAAGTAATAGCGAAGTTTTTATAATGCAAAAGAAAACATGTTTCAGCTGAAATGGAGGTTTGCGTTATGTTCTATATCTCAATAACTATTGAAGCTAGAGACTCCAATAAAAAAAAAACAATATCTTCCTCCATGTCTAATTAAGCTTGAAACTTACTTGTTGATTTCGGAAAAAAACGCTGTTTTTGACCTTAAAGACAAATGGAAGGGAGAAAGTATCAGGTCTGTGGTTTCTACCCTTTGTTGTTTCTTATGTGGGGAATATAATCACATAGTTTTGAACCCTGTACCTATTTTCCAGGAGCTTCCAAACTTTGCTCTGTGCTCAAAATTGGCCATTTTTAACATCTAATATCTCCGGTGGAGAGTGTCGCATAATTTATTCATGCAATGCAAGGGATGTTTGCAAGCAGAAGGGGGTCACTTTCAGCATTTGTTATAAAGCACGGTAAGTTTGTGTTATCTTTTTACAGTATTCTTATAAATGTGTGCATGTACAGAAACTGATGTGAGGGAATCAGTGACTTGACTGCACTCTCGCTAGTGGCAAAGAGCACAGTAGTTGCAGTGAAACGTTGTATCCACTCTACTCTGGGGAGAATGTGCACATTTATCAGTGCTAATGACTCATTCTGCTGTCAACAGTTACAGCAGCCATCTGTGAGGAATGTTGTGCCCACTCAGCCCTGTTACCAGGTTTCCTCGATGATTGAACGCCCTTTATATTAATAATTACTTTGTATCCTGAGCGTGGATGTTACTAGATACAGGGTGCGGCAGCATAATTTGCTGATTTGAATTTGGCGCCAGGAAGCGAGGTTTGGCCATTAGAGGGTTTGGATGGTCTCATTCGAACAGGTGGGTCAGGAAGTTTGTTCTCCCTTCCACTTTAGTACCGAGAATGTGTTGGACAAAGGAACAGCACGCGTTTGCTGTAGAGGCTCACTTTTCTAATGGTCACTCGATCATCGCCACGCAGCGAGCATTCCGCACGCACTTCAATATTTCCTGGTCAGCAGTCGATTGTTACGTGGGCAAACACATTCAGGAGAACTGGCAGTGTGGAAAAGAGAAGATCAGGGGAACGGCCTTTCAGATCACCTGAAAACATTTTTTTTGCCATCTCCTCAGCACGCAAGCATGCAGCTGCCCTTGGAATGTCTGATCATTCTGTGAGGCGAATTCTTCATGATGACTCCACTTTCATCCTTACAAATTGGCTGTGGTGCAAGAACTCACTGAACGCGATTTTGCTGCTCGGCAACGTGCATGTGAAGCGTTCCTTGAAACTTTTCCTGATGATGCGCTTGTGTGCTTTAGTGACAAGGCTCATTTCCATCTTTCTGGATGTGTGAACAAGCAAAACATGCGCTACTGGAATGATAACAATCCCTGAGAACTTCATGAGAGGCCCCTTCATTGTGAACGTTTAACTGGCATGCACTGTTGAGAATAGGGATTATTGGTCCCTACTTTTTTGAAGAGAATGAGGTTGCAGTTACAGTGAATTCTGTTCGCTATGTGAAAATGGTCGAAGAATTTTTTTGCCAAGTCTTGACGAAATGGATGTTGGGGATGTGTGGTTTCAGCAGGATGGAGCCACGGCACACACTGCATGAACTACAATGGACCCATTAGAGAGAGAGCTAGTCTCGATTTATTATTCATAACTTGCCAGAAACATTCAAATTTCCCGCTGTTACTTGGTAATTGAATGTCCCTGATGTAGGACATTCATTCTCATCAACTTTTCACCTAACAGAGATCACATGACTGCATTTATTCTTCTCTGCCATACCTTATTTTCTACAGCTGTAAAGTGAGAATGTGCAATGTGTGCATGAGTCTTGGGAATGCTATCTTGCAGTAAAGAGAAGGCGAGGCAAGAGGTGAATAGAATAAATAATGTATTGAACATTACTGGCTTGTGGGATGTGACATTATATAGCCAGGTAGAATGGTACCAAGATTTCAGAGGAACCTGCTGCCCCATCTTAAGTTTCCACCTCAGATTGTTCATAAATATACACTGTTGCGGTCTTAGGTAATTATGTGTATCTGTGTAGAACCCTGCAAGAACTGGTTATCATCACCGTCATCCTTTAGCTCCCTCTGGAGCATAGGGCAATAAGAAAGTGTCGCCATCTCACACAGTTCTTGACAAGTTGTTTAGTTTCTCCCCATGTCTTCCCAACAGCCAAGGCTTCCTCTCGTATTGTTCTCTGCCAACTCCTCTTTGGTCTTCCTCTTTTCCTGTGTCCTTGTGGATTCCATTTCATAGCCTCCTCCTCAGTTGAAATTTCCTATCGAAGAGAGTGGCCGATCCAGTTCCATTTACATCTGGTTATCTGTTCAGTTGGGACATGCAGTAGCGTAGTTGGTTGAGGCACTATGCTACAAGCTGGAAGGTCACAGGTTAAAGTACCAATGAGGTCATTGGATTTTTTCAATTGACCTAATCCTTCTAGCCGCACTGTGGCCCTGGGGTCGACTCAGCCTCTAACAGAAACGATTACCAGGAATATTCTTGGGGGATAAAGGGCGGCTGGTGCATAGGGTTGACAAACTTGCCGCCATCTATGAGCCAATTATCTAGAAAATATGGGAACCTCAACATCTCACGGCCCTATGGGCCTCCACGGCCTGTTACAGGGTTACCTTTATTTTTACTTACTTTTATCTGTTCAGTTATTTTTATTTCATTTGCTGGTTCCCATAGTTCATTTGCTATTGTAGCTGGCCATGTCGCCTTTACTATTCTATAGAGGCGTCAATTTACAGAACTTTGTAATTTTCTGCATTTTTCCTGAGTGACCCATTTTATTTCTTACATCTTATATACGAGACAAACTCCATCTTAAGTGCAACAATTTAATTGTAGTTATTTCTTCTTCTCTTCCTCCACACTACATGTTTCGGCCCTAAATGGCCATCATCAGGTGTGTATTCTTACGTAGCTGCTACACTGCCCGTAGTTTAAAATTTAAAATCACCAGTCTTTCCAATTGCATGTATGTATAAAATCTTTGTTAACCTACACGCGTCAATTTGATTTCTAAAATTGGCACTTTTTTAAAACTTCAATTCAAATTAAAATGTCTATAAATTTTCTGTTCTTTTTCTTTTTCCAAATTTTTTTAAAATTAATTTTCTTTTTTCGGGGTACACGTCCTATGTCTATAGTACTGCAGCGGCCACTTCTTGTTTTATCGCTGTTCAGGTATTGTTCTGTGTAGGCTCCCTGTGTGTGTCGCTGCTTATCTTTAATACACGTATAAAAGTGGCCACTGCAGTACTATAGACATAGGACGTGTACTCCGAAAAAAATTAATTAAAAAAAAAAATTGGAAAAAGAAAAAGAACAGAAAATTTATAGACATTTTAATTTGAATTGAAGT